GGGCTTGCTGAGTGGTTTGTGGTGTGGATCGGTACAAGGATCCATAAGGCCTATCAAGGGTTCAAAAGAATGGAGGTTTTGGGTTGCTTGGGAGCTCCAAAACCCAAGCCCATTTTCTTGAGCCATTGAATAGGTAAGTAGAGAGAACGTGCATTAAATCACCGACCCAACCACCAGCCTCTTCTACAAGCATAAAAGCTAGAGCTACCCACTCGTCTTCCTCCAGCAATTAACCTACTAGTATTAAAGCCTAGGCAAGCTCATCTTCAACTTGCCCCAAATCAAGCTTAGACACCCCAAATCAAGCCGAGACAATCTCATCTTCAACTTGCCCAAAAAACCCAGAAACCTAGAATCCCAAGCCTTAGCCTTTCCAAATCCTTAAACATAGGTTGGGTTGGTGATGGAGGTGGAGGTAGTGGTGGTAGACGATGTCATTTTTAAAAATTAATGACGGTATTATGGCAATTGAAAATTTTCATGAAGGATCTTCTCCGCTTCTTGTGAAATGAGCTTTCAAAAGCAACATACTTTTAAAAGCTGATGTAAAAAGACCATTTCTTTTAAAATAATCAAGATATTTATTTTTACCAAACACCTTAAACTACTTAATTTTACAATGAAATTACTTGTTTTTTAGGGAAAAAAGTACTAAATTGAGCTTAACCCCTTCAAAATCATTTTTCCTCAACTACAAACCATCTTTCTATTTTTGTTTGAATAAAATCAGGATTTTTATAAATAAAACCCGATGACTAAGATCCAACTCTGCAAGTTACCTAATCAAGCCCAAAATCGAATTTATTGTAGTTTTTCAATTCCTAAAATACCCCCAACTAAGTCATTATTGTATTTTGTATATTAATTTAGTTACCAATATAGAAACAAATTTTAATTGGATTGTAACTAACTGTACACAAAGATGTAGGAATTAATTTGAAAACTTCTTAAAAATTTAACATTGAATTCATATTTAACATACCTAATTGGTTTATTTAATAATTTTTTTTAAAAAAATTTACTCATCAAGTATACGTAATTGATTATCTATTATATTATTGTTTTATAAATATAATAGCATACATACACAACTCACCCATAAAAAAGCATATTCCAATTATTTTTGGGCTAAAATTGATTATTTGACCCATCTTTCTACCACTTCATGGCCCCAATAATCAAAGGGGCTAATGCTTAGGCCCAAAATGTCAAGAGAAGCTCAAAGGCATCTCAAGCCTAGTATAACATACAATAGTTGCCACATGCTAATCAAAATAATATTTGGGAATTAATTTATTAAATAAATATAGAAATAGTGTACATTTCATGCCAAGCAAATAATACATTTTCCTATGCTAAACCATCTGACAAGCTTAAGTAGACCCAAATACTATACATGCCTATGGCTTGCTGAGTGGTTTGTGGTGTGGATGGGTACAAGGATCCATGAGGCCCATCAAAGGTTCAAAAGAATGAAAGTTTTGGGCTACTTGGGAGCCCCAAAACACAAGCCATTTTGTTGAGCCCGTTGAATGGGTAAGCAGAGAGAACGTGCATTAAATCACAGACCCAACTACCAGCCTCTTCTACTAGCACAAAAGCCAGAGCTACCCACACGTCTTCCTCTAGCACTTAACCTGCCACTATTAAAACCCAGCTTTCGCTGTCTCAATCGTCACCACTAAAAGCTTAGACCAACAGTTGCTCCTCGAGGGACTATAAAAGGAGGCATTATCCAGAACTAGAGGGGGGGAACCACAACAATAGTAGCAAGCATTTTCTCATTGTTGGAAACACACCAAACTCAAGCTTAACCCTTTCATTACTCTCATTTTCCCCTAGGAAGGCAGAGGCAAGCTCACCCTCTACTGGAAATCACCCAGCCTCAACCATTCCAAACCCGGAAACAAGCCTTAGATATTCCAAGCTCAGACAAGCAACACAAAGGCAAACATACCCTCTACGAACACCCACAAATAAGCCCTAGTCATTCCAACCCAGAAATAAGTCTTAGCTATTCCAAGCTTAGACGCCCAAAATCAAGCTGAGGCAAGCTCATGGGTTGGATTGGTGATGGAGGTGGCAATGGTGTTGGGTTGGTGATGGAGGTGGAGGTGGTGGTGGTAGACAATGTCATTTTTTAAAATTAATGATGGTCTTATGGCAATTGGAAAATTTCATGAAGGGATCTTCTCTGCTTCTTGTGAAATGAGCTTTCAAAAGCAACATACTTTTAAAAGTGGATGTGAAAAGACCATTTATTTTAAAATGATCAAGATATTTTATTTTTACCAAACACCTTAAACTACTTAACTTTACAATGAAGCTACTTTTTTTGGGGGGCGGGGGGGTCAAAGTCATTTTTCCTCAACTACAACCCATCTTTTTATTTTTGTTGAATAAAATCCTATTTTTTCTAAATAAAACCAGATGACTAAGATCCAACTTGGTAAGTTACCTAATCAAGCGCAAAATCGAATTTATTGTACTTTTTCAATTCCTAAAATACCCCCAACTAAGTCATTATTGTATTGTGTATATTAATGTAGTTACCAATATAGAAACAAATTTTAATTGGATTGTAACTAATTGTACACATGGATGTAGGAATTAATTTGGAAACTTCTTAAAAATTTAGCAATAAATTCATATTTAACGTACCTAATCTGTTTATTTAATAATTTTAAAAAAAATTTACTTAACAAGTATACATAATTAATTATCTATTATATTATTGTTTTATAAATATAATAGCATACATACATAACTCACCCATAAAAAAACAATCTCAAATGGGACCGTAGTGAAATGCGGATAATGCAGGACTTCTACATTTAGAAGCTCGTGATCTGTAAGTCACCAGCAATGTTCAACTGATTCAAACTTAAGAGTCCATTCTTCCCTTTTGCTTTTATGTCTAGAGCAATCCCTACGTCTGTTCTTGTGTTGTGTTACATGAGGATCCCTTTAGGTACCGTACGATCATTGAGGACTTTGTATTGCAGGAATCCTATAAAGTCTCAAATGTTGGGGCAGTTACTTACTTTAAAAGATGCCCCGTCAGTAAGACTAAAGGCGTGATTTTTGTTGTTGTGGATACTAAAGGCATGGTTGGATTATAATCTAAGCAAAGAATGGAACTGCTTTCGATTTTGTCTTTTCTTTTTTGACACAAATTGGAGGTTGGATTTCCAAACTGCTTCAGTATATATATATTTGATGCCTAGTAAGGTTTTCAAAAGCCTTTGAACACTAGCAATACTTTTGACGACTCTTTCTTGGGTGTATACCGTGTATGACTCGATTTTCAGGTGCGTTCTCTGTGCTTTAAATCTTGACAGATTACTCACTCTGCTGTCAGATTTGTTTAAATAACTTCTACATTGACATTGCCTATCATGTTGTGGATGTTCACGTTATTATCTGACAGATTTCTTAATGGCTTCATCAGGTTAATTAATGATTTTGTTTACGAATTATATGTTCGTTTTTTCGACTATATATGTAGTGCACAGTTTCATGATTTTTATGAAACATTTAAATACTAGAAGGCCTATATATTGAAATTTAAAAATTAAATTATATAACTAGAGTAGTCCCGTCACACCCAAATTTTATGTTTTATCGTCTTATTTGCTTATTAGGGTGTAAGGTAAATGAATAAGAAAACTAAAACAAAATTTTTTTATTTAAACCAAAGTAATTTACATCATAATTTTATAAGGAAAAATAAAATAGAAGGAAGAACAATACTCTCTTATCCTAGCTTCTACTTAAAAACAGTACAATGCTATCTGCAATTAGTTCCTCTTATTTGCACATCTCATATTAAACCTCAATTTCAAATCCTGCAACAAATATAGAAAAGGGTAAGTACTAAGGCCCCGTTTGGTGTGCCAGATTTGACAAGTTAGGATAAGACTAAGAATGTTTGATTGGCCTGGCTTGAGTTGGGCTCGGCTTTAAGTCCTGTGAGTTGGTTGGTAGATCAATAAGCTGTACCATTGGACTTCGTTCTGGATCAATCCAAATTGGTCGAATTCTCTCTATCACCTATTTCATGTATGACATATTAATCCAATTTATTTGATCTTTAACTGTGATTTTTGGTTAGATCAATACAACTCATTCTTTTGTGCAAAACAACTTTTCTAGTACCAATCCATGTTGTTTGGTATCGATCCTTTCAATTTTCCACCTCTTCATTGATGAGATTACTCAGATCTCTAGATGGAGTTAATCAACAAAATAGATTGCTAACAGAGCAATCTAAGTTTATCACCAACAACCACCTTTTCCTATAGACTCTCTGACACCGCAAATAGCTCTTCCATTCCTTCCTAAGACTCACCCACCTCAGGACTTGTTAGCCTTGAAGAATACTCAGCAAAATAGAGCGCTTACAGAGTGATATGTGCATTTGAAGTAAGGAGCTTGTAGTTCAAGAGTCTTTACCCTTGCATCCAAGGTCCTAGTTTCAATTCTTCCTTCCCCATATCGGTTGTATTAAAATAAAGTAAAAAATTTGAATGCACAACTTGGTGTGCCCGTTGGTGTGGTGGTGGACAATTGCTTGAGAGCTGGTTTACATATAATATATGTTAGACTCAAAACTAATATTATTGTAACGTCTTTAGTTTTTTTGTTTTTTTATTTGCCAAAGTTAAAACGGGAATGGGAGAAACTTACACGCACGGTACCATGCAGGCTTGAATGTAGGATTATTTGGAAGCACACCAAAGACCTAGGCCAATCCAACAAACACCTTGGTTATATCTTTAGTTGAAAGCCCAAAATCATTAACCTACAAATAAATGAGTTAATATATTAAAAGTTTTAGTTTTTCACAAGTCCCTATGCAATCCGTCGATTTAACAGATGTTTCTAAAATTCTAAAAAAAAAGGATGAAATAGAATAGTAGAGTAGAGGATCACTTGGTGTTATTTGATTATCGCTAACAACTTTCATTTTCCGGTTATTAATTAAGGTGGGGATCAGAATGACAGAGAGCAATAAAGATGATGACTCGGTGGTGGGAAATACAGATAATGCAATAGCAGCAGGAAATGATTTGAAGAATCAAAGTTCGGGTTTGAGTGAGAACAGAAAGGAAGACGAGTTATTAGCATCCTTGATTCGAAAAAAGCTTCCTCAGCAGTCTTCTTCACTCGCATGTAGCTGCATATTTAGAATCCCTCATATATTACGCAGGGGTAATGAAAATGTTTTTGTTCCAAACCTAGTTTCAATTGGGCCATATCACCATGGACATGAGGACCTGAAAGCCATTGAAGAAATTAAACAATGGTATTTGCATTGTCTCCTTGAGCGTAGAGGCAATCAGGAGGCCAGTATGATGTCCTTTGTGAAAGGCATTAGAAGCATGGAAAAATACTGTCGTGATTGCTACGGAGAAAAGGTTAATTTAAGTAGTGATGACTTTGTGGAAATAATGGTGGTTGATGGTTGCTTTATAATTGAACTCTTCCGCAAGTATATTACTGATGCTACCGCTGGAAAGTGTGCAACAAAGGTTTTCCCAGAAAGGGATGATCCTGTGTTCGACACATCATGGATGATCGCGACGCTCCTATACGACTTGCTTCTACTTGAAAATCAGATTCCTTGGAGAGTTCTCGACTGTTTATTCAAGCTCACAAGAGAAAACGATGAAATAGAAGAAACTTCTCTATCCCAGCTTACTCTCAACTACTTCGAGTTTTACACCTTAGGGCGATATCCAAAGAAAATTGAAGAAACAGGAAGCAAGCATTTACTTGACTTTATAAGAAGATGTTTACTAGGAGGAACAAAAGAGGATAGTACTAATAATCATCCTACCACAGATTGGGCTCCAATCCCTAGCGTCACAGAGCTTCTACAAGCTGGAGTCAAATTTCGACGTACTGACGATAGCATGCTCAACATAACCTTTGAAAATGGAGTTATGAAAATTCCACCGATCGTGGTTAACGAAAATGGCGAGTCCCTCTTCAGAAATCTCATTGTTTACGAGCAGTGCGAAGCCAGCGTGTACGAATGTAAAATTACATCTTATGCTGTGGTGTTGGATAACCTGATCAACACCAGCTCGGATGTGGACATTCTGATGCAGAAAGGAATTTTATTTACCCATTTAAGCAAGGAGGATATAGCTAGCTTTTTCAATAAGCTTTACAATAACACCATCCCTGGCCATTTCTCTTATAAAGAGCTCACTGACAAAGTGAATGAGCATTATCACGGTCGCTTCAATAGATGGAAAACAATTCTCGCACGTGATTATTTCAACAATCCGTGGTCAACTTTGGCATTTGCTGGTGCCCTCTTGGGTTTGGGTTTGACCTTCATGCAAACCTTATATGCCATCCTGGCTTACAAGGCTCCTAAAGGTGATGAAGGCTATCATTATCCATGATTATGTATGTTCTCGCGTTCTGTGCCAACTGTATTAGCTACTGTTAATTGTTTCACCCTCCTGCAGTAGTTATGTTTTTTATGTCCCAATAAAAGCTACGACTATGTATTAAGTATTGTTTGCGGGTATGTATTGTTCCCAAGTTTAGCAATAAACAATGTAAATCTAATTCCTATAAAACAATATAAATTTGTTGAGTGTGGCCATCTAAGCTGTGGAAGCAAATATTAGTGTGACAGGTGAGTTGCCTTTTTGTTTGAGAACTAAATCAGAAAAGGGAATTGTTAACTTTGGTGGGAATTGCTTATCCGTTGTTCTGGAATATCATATTGCTTATCCATTGGAGGAAAACAACGTAGGAATAGTTGTGCTTGCAGTGCTTCTGGTTTTAAGCTTTATCAAATTATATCTTTATTGAACTTGAACATCATACGGCATTCCCAAAGACACTACAAGAAACTAGCAGCCTAAGTGAACATTCAGGGCACTCCTTTTTTTATACTTCTCTCCCACTCAACCTATATATCTAGAGCTTTATGTAAACTTAATATTGGGTAAAACCATAAGAACCCAATCCATGACCCAAGATCTTGAACTTCATGATTTTCACAATAACATTAGGAGGAAATTCAATTAGACTTAAATTACATACATACCTTGAATGATTAGTCTTCTACCATATCAAGATATTTGCCTTGAGCGATCCATAGGCGAGCCGTCAGTGTGGAGGAAATAGATTTCTCTCTCTAGCCTTTTGCACGTTTAGAAAACCCTAATACGTGTCTTCATCAGTGTACACATAAGATGGGTATGTGCACTATTATAGGCAGAGAGAGAACCCGTTTCCTAATAAAGCCCATAATCAATTACCACCCATCACGGTAATAAAATAGAAAACTACTTCTCTTTATTTGACTAATATAATTATTCTGAATAATATTTATTAAACCAATTAAACAATTTATTTACCACATAGGCCACTTCATGTGGGCCACACATAATATTTATAAAATATTCTTACATTCTCCCACTTGGCCCATATGATAAATTTACTTTATGGTTCAATAAATAAATATTAGGTGCGCGATACATTCAAAATAATCCTCACTTTCATATGGTTGACATAAATACCGCATTCAAGCAATTGTCCAATGTGAGTCATGGCGGTTATGCATCAATAAACGATACAATCCGTTCCATGTACCACAACATTAGCAAATCACCTAAAACAGTCCATAAGTGAGAAGTATCATAAAAGATCCAATAATGTCTTTGTCAAAGACGACTCCTATTATCATTCATCCAATCTCATTCATGTATACATATAAGGGAAAACAGGATATAACATAAACATATTCAATTATTGAGCTCAGAGTGTCAAAATAAATAAAATATCATTGTGCAAACCACAACATCATAAATACTATCCTGGTTTTTGACCAAGAATAGTCCTCTCAACATAACTATTAATGTCTTTGGCCAGAACCGTTTACTTGGTTTGCAAGCATAAGTTTTGTCTTTATAGACACTCTTTGTTTCTGAACCTCTTTGATGACAAGGTATTTAATTCCATTATGTTTAGCACTCTTAGAACAATTGTCATTCTCGGAGAAAAGGACAATTGCGGTATCAACATAAATTCTTAGCGGCGTGGCAATAAAACATAAACACCAAGTCCTAAGATTAAAACCTGCAACTTCAATTCATCAACTATGGCCTCAAAGCAAACCATATATGCATAATGAACTCTCATTGTACTGTTAACGTTCCAATTCACTCTTATGGGCATTACATAATGCTAAACTTGTCTCCTTTCTGATTTGGAGCAACATTAATGGATAAACATTATTTCATATCATGTCTCTTTAGAACACTTACAATATATGCTTAATGAGACAAACTTAACAATTCATGTGATCCATTCTGGAATATTTCAATTCCAATCACAAAAATTGTCTCATCCATATATTTCATTCAAGGTTCTTAGAGAAAAGCTTAATGGTTTCAACAATGAAAACCAAGACCAATATTTAGCAAGCAAAATAGCATAAATATCCAAAGTGAGAAATATAGACTTACTCCCACTGACCTTGAGATACATACAACAATTAATAGTGCTTTCATCAAAAATTAAAAATTAAAAATATTATGATATTATTAAACTTTGCATACCATAATAATTGCTAAATTTTTAATTTTATACAGTGAATTCTTCAGTTTACAAAGCATGTGTTTCTTTCAATAAAAGAGAAGTATTCAGGTTCATTCATACAGACTTCTCTATTAAACACTCATCTAATATTTTATCTTTCACATCCATACAGTGTAACTCTAAATCATAATGAGTTACGAATACCATTAATGATTCTAAGTGAGTCATTCTTAGAAACAAGTGGGAATGTCACTTTATAATATATGCCTTCTTTCTTAGTAAAATCATTGGCCAATAGTGTGTTTTTATATCCATCTATATTATTGCCATTGGAGTTGTATGTAGTCATGAAGACACCTTTACACACACCTTGTCCTTTGCAGGCAAATCGACGAAATCACAAACTTCATTCCGGAAAATTGATTTCAACTCATCATTCATGGCATAAATCTATTTAGTAGAATCAATATATGTTTAATGACATGTGAAAATAAAATCAAAATCTTACTTAACACTTACAGTCAGATTCTTGTAGATATACCAAATAATCACTTAGAGTAGCAGATACCAACACGTTTAATGTCTTGATATCATCATAATGCTATTCTTTGTGGGTCTCTACTACACTTTCATTGGTGAAGCAGTCATAATGGAGTGATTAGTTATTCATTAATTTGTTGGTCATTGTTGTTAAAACTATTCACAACTATAGGAACAACAATTTCATTATGAAGTATGCATGCAAAAATTTGCACACTAACTTCTCATAAAACCAATTTTCTTGGTTATCCACTCCCACTAATTTCACCATTTAAAATGAAACTAACGTTACTGATTTCAATAATCTCATACCCTGGTTAGGACAGTAAAATCTATACCATTTGTACTTTTCTAGGTAACCAATAAGGTTATCAAAAAACATTCTGAAGGTCCAATCCCTTCTCATGTGAACATTATATTCTTACTCCCACTAAGCAACCCAAAACATCAAGGTGCCTCAACCTGGATTTCCTTACTTTCCGCTGTTCAAATAATTTCTTATTTGAAACTGCCATAATAGGAACCCAATTAGCATAATAGTTGTAGTAAGAACATGTATCCATATTGGTATAGGTAACAATAAATTACTTCACATACCCCTAACCAAAAGGCAGAGCATTATAAGTTGAACACATGTTTTATAAATAATTTCAATTAGCTAAATATTTCTTATGGCATCTTTCTTGGTGTATTTAAATTGTTTTCCTCAATACAATCCACTTACACACCAATAAGAGATCAATAAAATATAGGTTCAGAAGAACCCTATTCCTTACTGATCCCTTAGTTCTTTCTGTGAACACATTACCAGTCATTTATGCCATAAGAACATTAAATTTTAATTTGTCAAATAGTAGTCACTTCTAAATTAATCATGTGAAGTATCAAAAATATTTAAAGAAAAAGTCATCATGGTCTAATTTTTTAAATCATTAATAGAATACCATAATTAACAAAATAGACATTCTTTAAGAGACTAAAACAGTCATCGCCAAACTTTAAAGGATAAAACATTATTGCCAAATTCCAAACAAAATTCCAAGTAGATTTGAAACAGGAAGTACGTAATACGCTTTCAATAAATCTAAATCATGGCCATTAAATTGAATATATAATTCCAAAAAGTGAAACCAAAAGCAACTTTGCATTGAACTATTAGAAACATGAATTTTAGCACATAATTTAATCCATCAAACATCATAAGAAAATTAATCTAAAAATTGATTCGAAACACATAAAAGCGGAAGACTTATCATTCGTATTGTGTAAATGCTTCGCCTTCTTCATAAGTAAAATTGATTCATCTTCTTCATCTAAAGGACTTTATTTTGCCGCTAAATTAGTCCGCTGAATAATGCACTCATTCATGCTTCGCATACCATCAAATTTCATGATAGTAAGGTCAGCCAATATTGTCCATGTAATGGACTTGTTAGCAATTCTCAAGAATTCTTTAGCATTATTCACATTAATGGAGCATAGCCTTAATTTATATTACAATGTCTATTTATTCGCATAAACATAAAGCTCAATATGTGTGATCTTTTACAGGCTTTATGGGAAGTCTTTAATCCTCAGTGCTTTACCATAATAGCAATGAGTTTCTCATTTTGAAATGCCTAATCAAGACCCAGAACACTTTGGTGATACTGGACTTGTTCAAAACAAAATGTGAAATTAAATCTAAACTAGATCAAACATGACAATGAAGCGAACCTAAAAGTGACATTGCAATATAATTTGTAATATGCTCAGAATACTAATGCTTTGAGTAATAAACACGTACAAACATATATAAGACTTGTATAGTCTGACCATCAATAGATGTATCATCATAACTCTCCTTTGGGATAAATTATGACAGTACCAATAATTAACAATTATGATGCATTTATTTTACATTATTGGTAAATGTATATTCTTAGTTAGAAAGGCTTTCAAAACAAATCTAAATAAAAACAAATCTAAATAAAGACATATACAAGTTACCTCATTTATATCACCAATCATATGAATAGTGGATCCACCTTCGGGTGATCCGTATATCTTATGAATGATGAAAATCAATATACTCATAACGTTCGAACCTTGAAAACATTATAAGGTTCAACCTCATTTATATGCATCTTTAAATCACAAGGAATTGATTAATTATCATTTAATTTGATATTCAAGGAACGTTCTAGCTTGGCCACTTTGGTGACTAACAAACCATTCATAATATGAACGTCAAATTAAATTAACTGTATTAGTTAATCAATTACATAAGATTAACTAATACACTTTAATGATTAATCGATCATTAGATTAATTATTAATTTGATATTCAAGGAACGTTCTAGCTTGGCCACTTTGGTGACTAACAAACTATTCATAATATGAATGTCAAATTAAATTAACAGCTGTAATTGTTAATAGATTGCATAGGATCAATTAATACACTTTAATGGTTAACCGATCATTAGATTAACCGATAAATATATGACCTTTTAACACGGTAGTGGGCAATAGACCTTTAGATTGCCTCGCTTCATAAGACAATGTACAGTGACAATGAAATACAATATGCTTACATATATTTGTTTTAAATAACTTTAATCCACTGTACATGTCTACACTAGGATCATTCCATGAGTTCATAAGTGGTCATACATTTAATACATCATCCTATTACAAATTTCATTTTATATAATTGCAATTCTTAATTTGGTGTAAATATTATGCAATTTTTCCAAAACTAGTATTGCATAAAGAAACAGTACTCCATTCTATATGTACTGGTCTGATAGCCAATTCATCCAGACCACTAACATATACACAGTACATATTTGCTAATTCAACTTTCCCAAAATTACATATGCATGACATATCCATCAATACGCTTATTTGCTATTAATTTGTCGTTCATATGTAATACCATATACTGAATGGAAAACTGGCAGCTATATTTCCCTTTTATGCTTTTCAATTAGACTTAAATTACATACATACCGTGAATGATTAGTCTTCTACCATATCAAGATATTTGCCTTGAGCGATCCATAGGCGAACCGTCAGTGTGAAGAAAATAGATTTCTCTTTCTAGCCTTTTGCACTTTTAGAAAACTCTAATACGTGTCTTCATCAGTGTACACATAAGATGGGTATGTGCACTATTATAGGCAGATAGAGGACCCGTTCCCTAGTGAAGTTCATAATCAATTACCACCCATCACGGTAATAAAATAGGAAACTACTTTTCTTTATTTAATCAATATAATTATTTTGAATAATATTTATTAAACCAATTAAACAATTTATTTACTACATAAGTCACTTCATGTGGGTCACACAGAATATTTATAAAATATTCTTACACTTTATTATGTCTAGGCTTGCGTACATCAGGCCACACTGTTTAGGAATTTAGGCAGCCACCTAGCTGACTCTTCAGGAATTCGCTGGAGATTGTCTTTGTAGTCGACGTAGTAAAGCCCGATAGCCTTCCCCACATTCAAAGTCGTCAAATAGAGCCCAGTGGAAATATCCTTCGACATTCGCAACACTCCTGTAAAAACAGAAATGACAAGTAAATGGATACTCTTTCATCAAACTTGCAAATTGACAATGGATAAAGTCCTAGATTTGATATTTAATAATAATAATAATGGCATAGCTTCTTAGTTCTTACCATTCTTGATTAGTTCATCAATCAGGCTATTGTAGTGATCAATACCCTGTTGGTTTAGCCCACCACTCAAGGTTCTCTCTGCACATTGAAAATTTCAAAGAAAGAGATTAACTCGTCGAACAAAAACGTAAAATTAAAGCCACTAAAGGCTGCAATTCCCACCCTTTCTAACAATTCTAAATATCTGAAACAGATCGAAACACAATAATTTCAGTGCCAGAGAAGGGAAGAGGTGGCAGCAGGGGTGGTGGAGGAGGACGGGGTTGGTCGCATCTGGATAGTTGGAGAGAAAAAGTATAGAGAGAGAAGAGAGGGAGGAGTGGGTTTCAATTTTAAATAATTTCAGTATTCTTTATTTAATTTGATATTTGGAATGTTAAAAAGTTAAAATTACCAAAATACCCATATCATGACAACAAGTTAACAATTTTTCAGCTCAAATTAACGGATAGGGTAATGTGGCTCACAAAACAAAATTTCATTTAGAACATCTGGTCATTTTAAAGTTCAGGGGGCAAACTAAAACAAATTGCAAAGCACAAAGGGCATTTCAAAAATATGCCTAAACAAAGTAGTTGTCGATTTTTGAAACTATGCTAACAAAAATAGTGGTCAGCAAAAATGCTTCATTTACAAAATGATGCTAACAATTTTTTGCTCCTTCCCAATAATTGTTGTCTTTAGTGTTTATTGGTAACCATATATTCTTTCTTCTTCTTTTTTTTTAATTTTAATTTTATTTTTATAAATTAACAATAATTGTATTAAATAATTGGGCACAAACACCAAATACCCATAAAGGGTTAATACAAATATGGATGCACAATAACGACAAATGATTAATTTAGATTAAAAAGCATACACCGGCGACATTATACAACTTGTATCTCCACTAATAACCCTAAAAAACCAAATACATTTCAATGCAACAAACGCTCAAAATGGGGTTCAACTTAGATAGATGTGAAGTGGTTGATAATATGTGAAGGTGTGGGTCTTCAGCATGTGTATGTGCCTTCAGGAGGCAAGGCAAGTGACTTCCTTCGGCAGGTTGATGCCTTTAGTGGGTTAAGTGGAAGGTGAGGACCTTCAACAAGTTAATGACTAGTGAAGGCTTGGGCAGGTTGGGGGATAGTGAAGGCCTTCATCAGGTTGTTGCCTTCGGCAGCCAGTGACATTTAGCATAAGTAAAGTAAATAAGCATGTAGAAAACAAGGTATACGTGGTTCACCCGAATGATGGGATACGTCCACAAAGAAGGATGTTCTCATTATGATACTGTTTGTTTACGTTGTACAAAGGGATTAGATCCAAAAATAAAGGGAAGAAGGCGAAAGAGTCCTAGATACAAAGCCCAAGAGTCCAAAGCCCAAAGGTTAACACCCTTTTCTAAGTAAAGAGTGGTCTTCTTTTCTAGGTGAAGGAGAGTCTCCATCTCTTGTGTTCCAATGTGGGACTCTTGACATTGCCCCTAGTTGTGACTTGTGGCAAGGCTTCTTTGGTTAAGGTGATGACCTCTCAAAGCATGGCACGTGGCTGATCTTGCTTAGCTAGTTGTTTGGTTAGTCAAGGCATCAACAGTATTCCCCAAGTTCGCAAGTAAGAAGGTACTTCTTGCTTGGGAATTTGTGATTTTAAGTGCACAGGCCGAGTAACACCGTAGTCCATCTTCCAAGTCATATAGTGCACTACCCACAGTCCCTCAAGTCCTCGGGTAAGAAGGAAATTGGAGGGAGGGAACAAGACTTTCATGTCGCAAGACAATGTGTGTAGGCACGAGGGTGCCGAAGGCATAAGACTTGTATGTCACAAGACAAGGTACTGAAGGGCACGTAGGTGCAGAAGGCGTAAGACTTGCACGCCGCAAGACAATGTGCGTAGGCATGAGGGTGCCGAAGGCATAAGACTTGCATGTCACAAGACAAGGCACTGAAGGGCACGTAGATGCTGAAGGCTTAAGACTTGCTTGTGGCAAGACAATGTGCATAGACACGAGGGTGCCGAAGGCATAAGACTTGCATGTCACAAGAAAAGGTACTGAAGGGCACGTAGGTGCCGAATGCTTAAGACTTGCTTGTCGCAAGACAATGTGCATAGACACGACGGTGCCGAACGCATAAGACTTGCATGTCACAAGAAAAGGTACTGAAGGGCCCTTGGTGTCACATCCCGGATCGGCTCTGCATAGCATGATATTGTCCACTTTGGGGGCCCCTTTCTGCCCTTACGGTTTTGTTTCTAGGAGCTCACAAGCAACTTCCCAGTGGGTCACCCATCTTGGGATTTCTCTAGTCCCAACTCGCTTAACTTCGAAGTTCCCATGACTCCGAAGTCAGTGAGCTCCCAAAAGGCCTCGTGCTAGATGGAGGCAGGCATGTACATATAAGGCACATCACTCCCTCTCTGTTGGTCGATGTGGGATGTTACACTAGGTGCCAAAGGCTCAAGAATTTCATGTCGCAAGACAATGTATGTATGCTCAAGGTATCGAAAGCATAAGACTTGCATGTTTCAAGACAAGGTGCTAAAGGGCATGCTTGCATGTCACAAGGTCGGCGCTGAATGGCATACTTGCGGTTCGCAAGGTAAGGTGCCAAATGATAAAAAGGGCGAAGTGTATGGGGGTGCCGAAGGCGCAAAGCTTGCATTTTGCAAGATAAAATGCAGAAGGGCACGGGGTGCCGAAGGCGCAAAGCTTGCATGTCGCAAGGCTGTGTGCCTAGGCACAAGGGTTCCGAAGGCGCAAATAGAGCTAGCAAGCGGGTCGTTTTTGCGGGTTACGGGTCGTGTTCATGTTAACACATTTTCTTAATGGGTTGACACGAACACGACCCGTGAAGTTAACGGGTCAGAAATACTAAACCCAAACACGACCCGCACAAATTCGCGAATAACACGACACGACCCGTTATGGCTAATGGGTCCTTTTTCACCCGTTTCACCCATTTAAAAAATAACAATATTTTTTTAAACAAATTATTAAATGAAAACACCTCAAATTAGAGATATTATAAAAATAAAGCTGAAATCCTTAAATAAGTCTTACACATTGGCAAACAAAAAAACTCTTAGACAATGTGAGTTTCAAATTAATCTCAATTGAATTTTTAAATAAAATGTTAAGTAGAAGAGGAATAAGTCTAGAGCCTCCTCCATGAACCTAATCTCAAAACTTCAATCCTCCATGAACATAATCTCAAAATTGCAATTTTCACCAATTATGCAATCTCACTGTAAGGAAACAAAAAACGCAACAACCAAATATGAGAAAATAAAATAAAATTATGGAGGGATACAATATGAATAAAATATCAATTATTTATCGTTACCTTTCATCAATCTTCAAGGGAAATACAATTGGAACATTGTCCTGATCTAGTCTCTTCACAAGTAAGATTGAAGATATCTTCAGTATGGCTTTCCACTTTGGCACTTCCTTCATCTATTGCTAAGCATTGAAAAAACAAAACTTACAAAGAATTCACATAATGGAAAAACATAAAAGAGAAAAATAGCTACTAGTATTAAGTTATATAAATATTACCTCCATTTACAAAAAGCCAATCTCGAGTGCACAACAAAGCTTGAACAGTTTGAGGTAATAATGAACTACGATATTGATCTAATACTCTACCGCCAATACTAAAAGCCGATTCTGATGCAATGGTAGAAATGGGAATTGTTAACACTTCCCGAGCTAAATGTGAAAGTATCGGATAATGAAAATGCTCCATTTGCCACCAAGAAAGAATATCTATATCTTGCTTTCTATCTAGTCTTTCCTCATCCAAATACTTATGCAATTCATTTTTCTTACATGAACTTCAACCATTTTTGTAACTATTATCAAAATCCTACACCATACAAAATCAAAACACAACTATTAGTTACATGCAAATATACAATATGATACAATACATAAATAAAATAATAAGAAATAATTTGAATTTACCTCAAGAATGGTATCTCCACCTTCATTGTGACTAGTTGTCTCATTCATTGGATAACTTGCATGAAGAAGATGAGATAAAGTTTATGTGTACACATGAAAAAGGGAAGTCAATGTGTCTGCAACACACTTGAATTCTCGAGAATCCTTACCGTGAAACTTAGTGTAAGCCCACTCTACAAAATGCAACTTATAAAGAGAATCCAAAATAATTGCAATTGCAAGAATTAAACTGTACTTTGACCAATACTTCTCAAACGTCATGTTCATATTAGTTCCTATCTTGTTCATGAAAATATCATCATCTTCCATGGCTACCTTGATTTGGTGTTGGATTATGAAGATCTTAGGGAAGAATAAATTTGATGTGGGGTACTTTGTCCCAGAAAATAAGCATGTCACTTCATAAAAATACCCCAAAATTGGAAATCTTCTCTACTTTAATCCACTCTTATGGAGAAGGGCAACTACTAAAATTGGAATCAATCAACCCTAAATTAATAAATGCACGATGATAGAAAAGTGCACTGTCAAGCATGGTATAAGTTGAGTTCCATCTAGTAGGGACATCATGTCTCAATCCTCTCTTACTACCCCCAATCCCTACTTGTGCAACACAATCGTAGAATTTTTGTTTCCTCGCCTTGGATCCCTTTATATACTTGACACATTCCCGAATCTTTGTCACTGAATAATCAATTTCATTAAGTCCATCTTGGACTATCAAGTTTAAAATGTGGGCACAACAGCGCACAAGAAAAAAACTTACCACCGATCAATAGAAGAGATCTAAAGTTCAATTGATTCGTCAAAATATCAACAAAAGCAGTATTTGCAGAAGCATTATCAAGAGTAATAGTGTTGATTCTATTCCTAACAACTAAAATGAGTTATTAAAAACAGCAACTTTAATTCTCGCAAGTGCACGAACCGTTTATAGTATAGCTTATGTAAATACGAGGTCAATCCCACGGAGAATGGTAACTTGGTTTCAAGTTAAATTACTTAGAATGCTAGAAAAACATAGAACAAGGAAACTGACTAACTAGCTAAAGGCAAGGTCGAATTCAACAATGCCTCTTGCTAATTACTCAAGGTCTAGGACAGAATCCTAGCACCACACACGCACTCAAAATGGGGGGTTTTGTTGTTGAAATGAAAAGAAGAAAGTGAAATGAAAGTGCTTGAAAGTAAACACTGGACAGATTGTGAAACAATAATTGAGAGGTGTTAGAGCCTTGGAATCCACCACTAGTTTTCCTATCCAAGTTATGAATACATAGAAATTGACTCAAGCTTCATCAACAACAGATTATCGCATACAAGCCTACGGTATCTAGGTGCAGGACGCATGATTCTCCTAAGGCATGTAATTGTGCATGGTATCTACACAACACGTGATCTCTAATATGCAACCTAAGCATGGTATCTACTTAGAATAAAGCATACAAGAGTCATTAAGCTCCTTGAGAATATGATAATCACACAAGTCTTAGAACATGGTATCTGTCCTAGTCAACCTATGGTTATTAACCCCTTGAATGATTCTTAGGCCATTCATGTGTTGCTTGTGAAAGGAGAGTAGAATTGGTGAATCTAAACCCCTTCCCAACCTGTGCTAGATGCATAAAATCCTAGTTAGCTACTCTAAGAAAACATACATCAAGCACATAATAAACTGGAGATTAACAACTTGATAATGAAAGCAAGGAAATCAATTAACTATAAAATCATCCATAACATTGAATATTCATGACTAGGGCTTCATCCTAAGCCCTAACTAAATGGATTAGTTAGACATAACTATGAATACAGAAAATAAGAAATACATAGATAGGATAAAGAGAGGAGAAGAACTAGATGATGGCAGCAAGGAATTCCCAGGACAGCTCCAAGCTCTCTTCTCTCTTTGTGGTGAATCTGAATTTGTGTATGAGAGTAATGGGTGAAGTGAAAATGTGTATCTGACTCTCTATATCTTTGAATGAGTGTGCAGCCCTCTATTTATAGAGTGCAATTTCGTCCTCCCCTTTGGCTGGTGAAGCAAACCTCTCTTAGCTGCTCCCAACAACTCCAGCAGCCCATACTTGCCACCTGCTCCAGATGCCCATACTTGCCACCTGCTCCAGCTGCCAAATACATGCTTTGGTATGGTTTTTTAATGGAAAACTTAACTTTTGTTCATCCTTCTGAGTTTCTGAGCTGATTTGACTCCCATGTGTGGCTGCCCATACTTAGCACATGGCTCTAGGGATGTAGATGTGATGGCAGCCAACATGACATTTCTGTGAACTTGGTTAAGTCTTTGACGTGCTGAGGGCTCTAGATTTATCCAATTGGGCTGAAATTTGGATATGTGATAATAGACACCCATTGGAACAACTTCTATCAAGGATGTCTCCTCATCCGACCTGTGTAAGTTGCTGAAATGAGGACTGAAAGATGACCCACGAAACTGGACTGACAAGGAGTGTGGCCCAAATTGGGTTTGTCTTTAAGCTCATATCTTCTTATCCCAATCAGCCCTTAACAAGCATGGATTGCATCAAATGTGATCTCTTGCTATCTTAACCTACAAAACAAACAAAAAGAGATAAGTGACTCAAAATAAAGAGAAACTAAGAAAAGTCACTAAGTAAAGAAGTCATGCGAATGTTTGAAATTATGAACTTATCAAATACCCCCAAACTTAGATTTTGCTAGTCCTCGAGCAAAACAAAGGAAAATTACAACTTAGGAAACAGGAAATACGCAACTAGCCTTCCAAACAATATCCTCAAAGAATTACCAACGTATATGATTCCAAAGAAACATAAAAATCACAATCTAGGTTCCATACATGATTCACGAGAAAGCAAAGCTCACAATGACATCCTTAAGTGTAGTGTGTAAATGCCAAATCAGAACAACACCTGCAACTCAAATAAGTACATGCGCACACACTTAGAGCAAAATAAAAAATTTCGAACCCCATAAGCTCATTATCCAATCTGCTCTCCACATAATACCATGCAACACCAAGGATCAAAAGGACTTTACAAGGGTAGTAATGAGGTTTAGGGTAGTGTTTGAATGAAAGAAGGGATATGAGATATACAATATTTTGAGCACAATTAAAGCATAGGTAAGAGCATAAGAGATTACTGAACTTTGTAACAAGCAAGGAACACATATATGAGCAGATTTTCAACATAATTTCAGCACCTTCATATATGTTTATTTGGCCTAATTTTGTGTCTCCTTACCCTAGATCACCATGATCTTCTCTTTTATAACACCCTAGGGCCGTGACTACATTGGTCACACTTCATTACCTCTTTTGATGAGTTACCAATACCCCCAAACTATTTCTTTTCAACACTTGGGTTATGGCACTAATGATTCACTTTTGCTCCAAAAACCTTGCATTCTTCTTTATAACTCTCTTTTGAAGATAGCTTTAATTGCTCATAGAATAAGTAAGAATAAGAAAACAGAGGTTCATTATGGTAGGAATGGTTTACACAAAGAAAGGCTTAACTTAGGCTCAAATGGGTTGACTAGGGATAAATACATGTAGAGGGATGGTTACAACGGCTCAAACGGTTCAAACATGGCCTAAATCACTTCCTAAGCATTGTATGGCAACAAAATGTCTCAAGAGATATTCAAATAAGTTCTAGAGTACGAAACCAAGATCATGAGATAAGTAGAATTGCATAACGTCTCCAAGTAGCAAGAAATTGGACTAACTTGGCAAAGTGCTCAATAAGTGCAAGGATGACATGCAAGATAGAGTTAACTCAGAACCACAGAAAGTCCTTAAACAATGACTATCAATTTCTGAGAAACCATATTAGTATTAGATCCAAGTCTTATCATAGGTGTTTGGAAGGATAACGAAACAGCACACAAAATCCTGCGTTTTTGGCCATTAGACACACTCAAAATTTTAAAATTTGAAACAACATAACTAAATCCTTCCCCCCAAACTTAAATGAAACATTGTCCTCAATGTTTAGAGTGTAAGAAAAAGCAATGCCTCATAAATGAAAGGAAAGAAGATAAGGGAAAGACATAACCAAAGGTTAGAGTTCAGAAAAACTTCCCTTTGAAGCGATTAGAACACAAGCAGGCTTCCTTGCATGTTCTGTCCTTGGCCATTCTCCCAATGGGCACTTGACCTCATTAGACCTATGCCTGAGGGCAAAGGTCAGGTCAAGTATGCAATTGTAGCTGTGGACTACTTCACCAAGTGGGCTAAAGCTGAAGCCCTAGCCACCATGACTGCAGCTCGCATCGAAACGTTCGTTTGGCAGAATATTGTATGTCGCTTCGGCATCCCCAACATCATCATCACATAAAACGGTCGACAGTTTGACAATGCCAAGTTCAAGAAATTTTGTTCCAACCTCAAGATACGTCTTTGCTTCACCTCCCCAGCCCATCCTCAGTGTAATAGCCATGTTGAAGCTGTGAACAAGATCATCAAGAAGACTCTGAATACCAAGCTTGACAAAGCTAAGGGTTGCTGGCCAAAGCTACTCCCAGAGGTTCTCTGGTCCTACCGCACCACCTTCCGTACCTCAACAGGAGAAACACCGTTCTCTCTTTCCTTTGGTACCGAAGCTGTGGCACTAGTGGAGATTGGCCAACCCACATACCGAACCTCCACTTATGATGCCGAGGCCAATGACGAGCAGTTAGCCTTGAACCTTGACTTCACTGACGAGCTTCGTGACCAATCCAACATGCGCAATGTCATGTACAAACAGCGCATCCCCAAGTACTATGACTCCCGAGTCAGATCCCGTGCTTTCAAGATTAGGGACTGGGTCATGCGCAAGGTTTCCTTGGCCACTAAGAACCCTACTGAAGGTACCTTGGGACCTATATGGGAAGGCCCTTATGAGATTACCAAAGTCTGTTGCCCCGACACTTATCAGCTTCGTGATCCTAAGGGCAAGACTTTGCTTCATCCTTGGAACGCTGATCACCTCAAGTACTACTATAGGTAAACACACCTAGACCCTAGGGCATTATGTTTTCTTAGACTTTAGCCTTGAGCCTTGCCTCAACCATCTCTTGTATTTTCTGCCTTTCGGCACCTATTTAATGAAATGCTCGACTCTGGCTATTTCTCATCAATCACATGGTTCTCATTTTGCTAGCACAACTAATATCAAATGACAACAAGCCTAATATCATAGAAAATCAAAATAACCTTGCCCTAAAGAAGGCCAAATGTTCATACAAAGTAGAAATAAACATAAAGTGTTCCAAACAAATAACTAAAGTACATAAAAAAGGCAACGCCTTCAAGACTCGGTAGAAGGGGCATCCGTAGTAGCTAGCTCTAGCTCTGGCTCTGGAGTGGCCTCGGTGGTAGGACTAAGTGAAGGAGGCTCGCCACTCGTATCAAAGTTAATCTCAACCGAAGGGTTGAACCTCGCCGACCTCTCTTCCCAAAGCAGCTACATATCCACCAATCGATCCATGATGTAACTCTACAGCTCCTCTGAACTCCAAAAAGACTCGATCACTTCGGCTCGGGCAGTAGCTATCTCTTCGGCCTTCTTCTGCTCCACTTCGGCCCGGGCCGCAGCTACCTCATCGGCCCTCGACCGCTTCAGCTCCTCCACCTCTCTGGCTAGCGCAGCTTTCTGCAACAGCAGGGCCTTCTTCTCTCTAATGGCCTCCTACGCCTCCGCTATTTTGTCCTTAGCCATCTCATTGCGCCTCTTTAGTCTCTGGATCTCCTTATTTGCCTTGGCCATATTCACATACATCTCCTCATAGGCTTGCAACACAAAACATCATCAATCAGAAGCAAACTAGAATGATAGGAACAAATTCACAAAGCAAGACCACTTACATAGGCATGGGTAAGGAACGTCTTTTGGGCCTGATCTGCATAGGAAGAGGCCGGTGTCCTCACTAGAACCTCGAGATCACTCTTCATGCCTTCCAGGAAGACGTTCACCAAGGGAACCTCCTGATGATGCATGGCAAGGTTCACCTCTTTCTTCTCCCGACGCAACCTGGAGAAGTCCACCTTCTCCACCCCCTTGGCATAAACGTCCTCCACACCGAATGGGAGCTTCGGCGGTGCCTGCAGGTCAAAGGGAGGAAGCCTCGGCCCTGTTCCCATCACACTCTGGTGAGCTTCCTCCAACGCTCTCTTCTTTCCCAGCACATCAGCAACCAGGCCTTCATCTTCATCTTTAGGATGCTTACCCATCGCCTGCCTGGCACCTCCTTCTCAGCCTTCTGCACCGGAGACTCCCTAAGCCGTCTCTGCATCTCGGCATCATCCAAATCCACAACCACCTTCGTGCTTCCCTTTATGATACCCGCCACTACACATCAAAAACTAAGTTAATCACAACTACAAAAAGGAATCGAAAGACAAACAACAAAGGTGACCCAAATACTTACTTCCGTATAAAAGGCCGGACTCAAGCAGATTCTTCTGAGTGACTAGGTTTTTACACTCATGCTCGGTCTTTGACAGCAGTGATCTCACCCTCTCAACTTTGTCTTCTTGCTCCTTGGAGATCGGCCGCCACTTCATCGAACCTGCCCTAAAGGTCAGATACTACTCAGCCATTTACAGTTGCACAAGCAAAAATGTAGAACCAAGAGTCAAAGCAGGTAAAAACACTACAAAACAATAATCAGTCTTAAAGGATGGGGCCAAGGACCTATAGACTGGAAGTGGGTAGGAATGTGTTTGGATACGGTCCTCCCTGGCTGACACTTCTAGTCCTCATAAGCCAGACACCACATGTTCCTCCAAGACTTATGAGTAGAAGGCAATTGGCCTGTACCCAGCCAAAACTTCCCTGTTGCTTGGAGATCGAGTAGAGGTACATAAACTACTCAAACATTGGCTCCCTCAACCCAGCCAACCACCAAGCAATGTAAACCCCATGAAGAAGAATCCAAGAGTTGGGATTATATTGCCCTGGCGGACATCCCAGTTTGGCCAACATCATCTGTACCCTAGGATGAAATGGTAGTCTAAAGCTATGCTGGTACATATCAGCAAATATCAACACGCATCACTCCAGAGGATATCTAACCACATCAGCAGCACTGGGTAACCTCAAGCCCACCGAAGGTGGGACACTAAAATTCGTTCGAAGCTCTGCCAGCTTCACCTCTGTAAGTATATTACGCCTTGACAAAGGGACACCAACCAATATATCCACCCCCTCTGAAGCTGAAGCCACGGCTACACCCACAGGCCCTGACGGTGATGCCTGATTGCTCGAGCCCACCTCTGGTGTATGAGGCAAGGCTAGAACCCGATCAGCCACAGCCTCTAACACGCTGTAATTCCACTGCATCTCCTTGTACTCGGCCTCCCAGGAATCTACTAATGGCTCACCTCTCTCACCCTCATGCACTACCATTATACTTTCTATCATACTGTAACAACCCGGTCCTTAATTAATATTTAATTATTAATTTATTCCATTAAAAGACCATTACACCCATAGAATATTTTATTAGTTTAAAGTTGACTTTTTGACCAGGAAGGAATTTGGGGATTTCAGTTATACTGTTGCGTAGAGCGCAGCGAGATGAGTCCATAGACATGTAGTGGGCTCAAATCGGAGTTGTAACGAAGGAGTTACGATCAAAAGAAGTTCAGTGACATAACCGTAAATATTTCGAAGTTGAGTTCTTAAAAACCCAGATTTCTCCTATGTCGACAACTCGACCAGCCGACTTTAGGAGAGGATTTCTCTCAGCTCCGAGCACCTATTTGAGGAAGACCGGTGCCAAACGAACCACCTCACTCCCCTCTTTCAGTATCAGCCCATCCCAGCCTCGATCCGCCGTCGTAGTCGCCGGAATCCAAACAGGCGGTGCTAGACATTTTTGACAGAACTTCCAACCTTTCGTTCTCCGTCGTCCAGCCACCAAATCGGACGAGTGACGTATGGTTTTCTAGCTATTTTCATGCTCTAGCTGCTGGATGGGTATGATTTCAGAGATTTCAAGCGTAGATCATTCAATTTTTAAGTTAGCTTTCAGCAGACTTTCGGGTCACTGTTCCGGCCACTTCCGGCCAGTTTTTGGGGTAGGTAAAAGAACAAAAGTGGCTCCAAATAGGGTATTATACCTAGGGTAGAAGTCTTGAGCCATGGTTTAGAGTTTTTCCGGCGGAGTGTTATCGCTTTAGGCACCACGCTCTGCCGACGCGTGTGGTGGCGCGTGGGCAATAGGGTGGGGACCAGAGTCAGCCCTAGAATAATCTCCTAGTTCCCACGAGCGCGTAGGATTTCGCGGATCTTAATTCGGATAACGTTTAAACCCTGAACGGATCTCGCCTAGTGGGTGATTCCTGGGTTCAGCAGGTTTGAACCGTTGGATCGTAATCATGTTCCAGTATGTTGATCTAGGTAATTTCAGGATCGTATAGCATTTGAAGGATCATAAAATAGAGTCTCGGATACTCCAGAAATTTCAGCCCTAGAGTGAGGTTTACAGTAAAACAAACCAGTTACAGGTCAGGAACAGAGGAAAGAACTACGTGTGGCTTGATCCCTCAGTAAGGGTACGTAGGCAGCCTACAGTTTATCAAGTGCAGCCACGAGTTAGGGGCTCAGGGTTTATGTTACTATTTTCAGGGCATTTTGGTCATTTATGACCCACAGTTACCATGTGTCAGTTTTAAACAGGTTTCGACCCGGATTCCAAAGTGGAAATTGGGTCAGTTCGTTTCACATACCTTCTACCACACCATCTGTCTGGGAACTCTCATCTTCATAACAAACATATTGGCTGGGCTCTTCACTCTCCGTATCTTCCCCACCAAAGGTAGGGGGTCATGACTTTCTCTATCAGAACTTTCAGACATCTACAATTTGCAAAAACAAGAAAAGGGAACTAATGCACATGCAAGAAGGATCGAAAACACAAGAACACAAAAAGGACGACAAACCTACATGCTCTTTGATCTACGAACATCATTCAACAAGTTCATATCAATGTTCAAGGTGTTCATCAAGTTCATACTCATATTCAAGGTGTTCATCCTAGTCTCCAACATGTTCATGCAAAAAAGGACACTTCAATTCAAAAGTTCAAGGAAAATGAGGTCTAACCTTGTTTGCACCACCACGAATGAGATGCCGGAAATCACCTTGGCCACAAGCACCACCACCAAAATCTCGCCAGAAATCTCTTTTTCTCCTTCTCACCTTCTAGAAATTTTTCTCCAAAACTCGTGTGATGCCTTCATTACTCCAAGTTCCTATTTATAAAGCCTCAAGGGTACCAACGCCTCGGTTCACGAGAAAACCCTAGCACCCTTTCAACTTCCCTCCCAAATTCCTTGTACCTGCAACAATTTGAAATTCAAATTTCAGATTCCCAAAAAAAATAAAATATTTGAAAAAATTAATTTGAAGACCTTGCCGAACGGCAAGGTCCATGTAGAACCAAATGAGGGGCTCACAAAAAAAAATGTGCTCACCAAAGGCCCATCTCTAGGCCTTCACTTCTTGCCGACAATCTAAGGAGACCTAGCACTCTCGCCAAATCCGAAAGGGATTGTTGCCAAGGAGCCCAATAGCTTATTTCTAATCCCAACCTACCGAAGACCCAAGAGCTCTCACAGCACCAAAAGGATTCCTGCTGAATGGCAGGTTCCGCGCAAAAGCAAAGGGGGGACTCACCCTCTCTAGTCTGAATGCCTACCTGCCAAAGGTTCACAAAGCCCAGCTCCAAGGCAAGCCCGGTTACAAAGCAAACACACAACACCACCCTTGCCGAATGGCAAGGGTTGAGCAAAGGAAAGGATGGCCTCGAAGTGTACCTCCTCGCAGTCCTCGCTAAATCCGACCTCATGAAACCGGAGCTGGTCCGAGCTGCCCTTACCGAACCTACCCTAGTTCCGAGAGGGATCTTACTGAACTGGTGCTGCACCAAGGGTTTGGACACGAAAAACCCCTTGAAAAATCTTCCCCTGCCGAATGAGACGAAGACATCACAAGCTCCAAACCCTTGCCGAACACAAAAGGGTCTCCGGAAATTTTTCAATTCACCCCATCTCCTTCAGCATGGAGAGTACCGTTTGGCAAGTCTGGGTTCAAAAGTTATTGGGCACTCACGAGTTCAAAACCTTGCCAAAAAATCTCTTGCCGAAATGCCTTCTTGATGGATGAATGGCCTCCTCCCGCGTAAACTGCTGAACGGCAGGTCTCATTTAGGAGGACTATCCACCCTCCTCCAAAAAACCCTAACCTAAACACGAATGAGCCGGCCTCATATTGTGTTTACCGAAAATGAGGCCTAACTTTCTTGGCGAGGGACCAGAGCCCAAAACTTGGGCATCATTGTCGAAGGCATAAATGGAGCAGACCTTTCTTGCCAAAGCCAAGATGCCCAACCCTCAATTCATTTGTCCAGCTCCAAGCTTGCCAATCAGAGGGCCTCTTGACAACAGCTCAGCTCTAAGCCCAGCCCATGACTTGCCAAAGCCCAACTCACGACAACATTTTCCAACTTACCCTTGCTAAAAGGCAAAGGTCATGCTGAACATTTTCAGGCCCCCTCTTCCTAATCTCAACTCCCTTCCGATTGGCCCGGCTCCAAGCCCAGCTCATAGGCCCCAAGAACTTTCTCTAGCTTCGGAAGACGCAAGAGGGTTTCAAGAAATGTTGAATCAACCTTGTCGTTTGGCAGGTCTTAGGGTACCGCACCAATTGGCTCTAGACTAAGCTAGACCAATCCTTGCCGAAGCCTAGCCTTTGGTAAATTTCCATGGCCCAGAACAGCTGAGTGCCAAGCCCATCTTGGTCCCTTGCCGAATGGTAAGGACCATAAAAGTCAAATAAAAGCCCACAAGGTCCAAAAAAAAAGGGAGGGGGGGGGGGGGGGGGGGGGGGGGGGGGCGCCCCCCCCTGCCGAATGGTAAGGGCCATGGAAGAAGAGTGAAGGACTCACAAAACGCTCCCCAAGGCTTCCTTGCGGAAGCTTCAAGGCCACGGCCTTTACCGAAGCTTAGCTCCACAGAGCTCAATTCCAACCTCCTTGCTGAAAACCCAAGTACCCAGCTACCTACGGTTCTGAAGGCTCACACAGCTTCTACCATACCTTCCAAAAATTGACGCAACTTCTAGCTTGCCAACTTGGGGGACTAGGGAATGCCCTACGGCTCCCAGTGAATCTGGAATGCTCGGTCATGATTACACAAAAACTCACAAGTTCCCAACCCAGAAGTTACTTCTTGACTGCGAACTTGGGGACTACTATTTACACCATAATCAACCGAGCATATCCATCCTTAAAACGACTAGCACCAAGGCAGATACGCCTTCTCCATTGCCGAAGAAAGACACTCTTCCAAGGTGCTAGACACCTGCTAAAGCTCTCTACTGGTGAAGCTCCCAAACTGCCAAACCTAATCTCCAAGACATGTGTCACCACCATAGCGATTTGCACAAAGTCCCACATCGAAACTTTGTGCAAACCTCCCACTTTCACTTCCCTATAAATAGGGAACAGTACCCAAGTAAAAAGGGGTAACTTCTCTATCACTCTTACTATGGCTCTGCCAATTTTACCACCCATAGCTGACTTAAGTATCGGAGAGCCTTTAGACGGCACCACACCGGTGTCCGAAGCTTAACGACTGCTTCTCCTACTTTGTCTTTTGCAAGCTCCTCCCTTGCTGAAGGTCCTCACCTTCTCCCCTGCTGAAGGCTATCTCACTTCTCTCCTAAGTTGACCTCCCAAAAAGAGCAAGCTTCAAAAGAGAAAAAAAAAAAAAAAAAAAAAAAAAAAAAAAAAAAAAAAATAAATTCAATATCAATTACAGTACTATAAAACTCAAGGATGGAGTGTTTCAAGAATCAAAATAATAGCCTAGTGTGCAGCTAATCAATCATTACCATACCCATTGAATATCCAAAAAAAACAAAAAAGAGAAGATAAAATACTTGTATAGAAAATCCATCATATCCACTAAGATATTTTATGATATCTCAATCTTGAGACATAAATTTAAATAATGGTAACATAATGTCCCCTATAAACACCATTGAATGACTTTATTATAACACACATATTTGTATAGCAACATTGTCAAGACAAAAGTAGAATAAATTCTTTGGTTTTCGAGTTGCAATTGTTTGGTTTTTTTAATTAGCAAGTCTTCATCTAAACTAATAAATAAATAAAACAAAGAAAATAGGAAAGTAGAAAATAATGCATATATTCCAACTATCAACTGGAAATTAATAAAAGTTTATGGGGAGATTTATTAGATAAATGCAAGAGTGATAACAAACTCTCAAAGTGGAAATTAATAAAATAGTGCAGCAAGTGAATAAAATAGGCAAAAGCCACTAAACTAGTAAAGGACTGGATCGGTTGTTTTTTTATTATATTCCCCAATTTCTATGAAATAAAGGATGCTCATTGAATGAATCAATGAATCTTAACTTGAGCCTACTTTGCTAAGAGAAAGACAGAGAAGGGAAAGATAGAAGGAAAAAAAGCAATCCTTCCAACTCACTTTGGTACTGATATAATGCATAAATGAAAATTAAAACTCTTAAATACTTGAGATTTTCATACCTTTTCGTTGGAGAAGAGGAAAGGTAGGTAGTTGAAGTTGATGGTTTGGTTTGGATCTGGAGAGAAATAGAGAGCTTTTGTTTTTCTTGAGAGAAAGACCATAAAGCGGCGTGATGAGGGAATAACGAAACAGAAGCTTCAATCCAAGCTAGGTTAATTTTATAATGAAAATTACAAAAATGCCCTTGCTCTTAACGGGTTAACGGGTGATTCGCGAATGATACTGACACGACCTGTTAGCTTAACGGGTGAGTAACGAGTCCACCCGTTTTCAACCCGACCCATTAAGCTCGACCCAAATACTATTATTTTCGTGCGAATTCGTGTTGTGTTAACGGGTTGTGTCTGATATTGCCGGGTCTAGGCGCAAAGCTTGCATGTCGCAAGATAAAATACCGAAGGGCACGGGGTGCTAATGGCACTTGTATAAAACTTTCGTGTCACAAGAAAAATTGCCAAAGGATATGAAACTTGGCAATGTGCCAAGAGTTGCATAAAACTTGCATGTTGCAAGGAAAATTGCCAAAGGTCATGAAACTTGGCATGGTACCGAAAGGCACGAGGTGTCGAAGGCATTTGCTGTCGTAAGGAAATTGCTGAAGGCATTTGCATGAAACTAGTATGTCATAACTTGGAAAGAATCCAAAGGGCATGGGGTGCCGAAGAAATTTGCATAAAACTTGTGTGTCACAAGGAAACTTGGCAAGGTACCGAAGGGAGAATTGTAAATGTGTTTTGTTTTTTTTTTTTTTTTTGTGGGTGCTGTAGGCCCTATAAATATATCCCCATTTTTTGGTGGCAAGTTGCCGATTGCCACAAGTTAAGTGGGCTTTAGAATTTTTTCTTGTTCTTGAACAAGGATGTAAGGTTTCAGCTTCTTCTTCTATACGACCCAAGTGTATTGAATCATGGATTTTTGAAGAGAAAATTATGGGCTTTCTTTGGCAAATGGGCCTCGCATACTAGTTGGTAAGGTCGTTGTCGCTCAATTGGAGATGGTTTGGAGGTTGACTAATTCCTTCGGTCGACGGCCTACCAATCGGTAACTGTGACGTCATGTCTACCAATTGGCAAATGCATTTCTGATAGGTTTGGAGTTGGATGAGGGCTCTCCTTCTCGTTTCCTCACCACCCTACCAATCGGTAAGGGTGTATCCGATGGTATTAGTGGACTGAGAAGATGTCTTCAAGCTACGTCGTCATCCTACTGATCAGTTGGGTGGTTGTGGAGGTGCCGTAGTTGACTTGCTGATGGTTTTGGAGGTTGGATGGGGGCTGTCCGCTTGATCTGTAGTTGGCCTACTCATCGGCAATCAGTTTGGTGGGCTTGGGTGTCTTAATAGATTTTGGCAGAGAGAAGGTTTGACACTTTGAGTCCCTATTGTCAGCTTGTTGGTTAGGAGGTATGGAGATGGTTTGGGGATGTTCCATATTTTCGATTGACTTCCTACCGATCGATAGGTGTGACATCACGTCTGCCGATCAACAAGGGCATGTCCAATGGGTTTGGAGATGGGTTAGGAGCTCCCCACACAATTTGTCGTCAACTTGCCAATCGGCAAGGTCATTGCTGATGGTTAAAGGTTCTCCGGTGATTGGAGATTTGTGGATGATGTGTGAAGGCGTGGGTCTTTAGCATGTGTATGTGCCTTCGGAAGGCAAGGCAAGTGACTGCCTTCAACAGGTTGATGCCTTCAGTGGGTTAAGTGGAAGGTGTGAGGACCTTCAGCAAGTTAATGACTATTGAACGCTTCGACAAGTTGGGGCATAGTGAATGCCTTCAGCAAGTTATTGCCTTCGGCAACCAGTGACATTTGTACAAGGGGATTAGACCCAAAGATAAAGGGAAGAAGGCCCAAGAGTCCTAGGTACAAAGCCCAAAAATCCGAAGCCCAAAGGTCAAGACCCTTTTCTAAGTAAAGAGTGGTCTTCTTTTCTATGTGAGGGGAGTCTCCACCTATTGTAGTCTTCCAATGTGGGACTCTTGGCATTGCCCCTAGTTGTGACTTGTGGCAAGGCTTTTTTGGCTAAGGTAATGACTTCTCAAAGCATGGCACGTGTCTAATCTTGCTTAGCTAGTTGCTCAATTAGTCACGGTATCAACAAGTCATATGCCTAAGCAACTCAGACATGGAATACAGCACCCAAAATTACAAATACAACTACAACTAACTCTCACAAGTAAAATACAAGTAGAGACTAAAACACAAATAAACACCCAACTCACAAAGTCTTGATGGAATTATTGCGACTCAAACAATTGCAAACACAAGCCACTCAATCACTTCGTCTATCTTCAAATCACAAATAGAAACAAACAACGGATCTGAAGTAGATATACAGCAGGAATCTCAAATATGCAAAAAGAAACAAACAACACAACCAAGTGCACACAAACAAGTTGTACGATGCAATTCAAGGAAACTTTGAGCAAGAATCATTTGTAAACAAAAGGGCAATCCACTATTGAGGCAATAAAATGGAGTCCACAACCTTGAAAATTAAACACTTACCATCCTTTTGGTTTCAGAATTGCATGATTGCTTGGAATCTTGTACATCTAGCAATTCCTGATGGTCAATTGATTCATCACTTCCAATTTCCTTAATAGAAACATCCGTGCTCAAAGAAACTATGAGAATATAGGAAGCTCTAACATTAACAATTGCAAAAACAAAACAAAAAAACAAAAACAAAAACTTTGGATGCAAATAATTGTGCATGGACTAAATCAATGTCCTTTGTTGCAACTTGCATTGCATGCACAATGTAGTTTAATAAGAAGCATTTAAATTAAGTGTTTGTGCAATAATCCTGGTGGGAGAATATTCACTTTGTGATTCTTCAATCTTTGATCTTTCTTCCCTCTCTTCCTCGATTCCTACAAAAAAAAAGACCATAGTAAATAAACCACACCCAAGGGGTGTTGGCCAAATGCCCTTTGATGCCTAAGTTAGGTTGATTGAATCTAGGAGAAACAATAGCTAAAAAAGGGTACGGAGATATATATATATATATATATGGTGTGAACCGAACGGCCGGAGCCGTGTGTGGTGTGAACAAGGCAGCTAGAGCTGTGTGTGTAATATATGGAGAAAGAAGAGATGTATGGCCGGCAGCGGTGGTGGCGCCTGTGGCAACTAGGGAGAGAGAGAGAGAGAGGGAGAGTTTTCTCGGGTTTTAGAATTAGGTTTTGAAGTACCTTGAATGATGAATGAAACCATGTATTTATAGGATCCTTGGAGGCTAGGGTTTCATAGAGAATAAAACTCTTATTAGGAAGGAGTTTATTCTTTCCCCAAATCTCCTAATTTGATGATGATTATATCTCCTTATCAGGATAATATCTAAATTAATGGTATTATCTTATTAAACAAAGATAATATCCCATAATTAAGATATTATCCATATTAATTAATTGGCCAAATAAATTGGTTCAATTAATTAATTTAAGGGATATTCTTCTTTTCCATGTGGCGTGCCATAATTGGAGACGAAAATATTTGCTTTCACAAATGCCCCCTAGCTTCTACATGGCACTTGTGTGGCATGTAGGAGATGAAATTATTTTTCAGGCTCTCCAACTGTGTCTAGGCTTTCTTCAGTGAGTTGCACTCCTTTTACAGATGGGGTTCCCAATTGGAGTGGGCTTTTGACTGCTCTTGGAGTTGGGTTCCCAGTAAGAATGGGCTTACGATTCCTTCTTGACCTGGGACGTCCTACTTGTATAAATATAGGACTAATCTTTTCTTTTCTTCATAATACAAATTTGTCTACTTCCTGGCCTGAGAGAAATTTCAGAAAGTTCGTCCCACTTGTTGAGGAGAAAAGTTGTCATGCATCCAAAGGAAAGTCAAGCATGTATTTTTTTTTCTTCGTCTTTTTTCTTTCTCTGCTCTGGGGACAAGCTGGGCAGCTGGTTGGTCGTCATCGTGGCTGGTAGCGTCAAAGTTTGGCGGCTGGAGGTGCTGGGGCCATTGGTGGCTGTCGGAAGGGACCAGTCGATTGTGCTGCAACCTAACTGGCAGTTGTAGCCTGAATCCGGGCCTATCTTGGAGGGATGATGCATTGGACCTAGGCCTTGTCTTGGAGTGGTGCGACATGGGCCACACGATGGAGCTGGAGTAAGTGGCTGGGCAAGCAAGGTGGGCCTCCTGCGCTGCACGGACCAGGCCTGGCGTTTGCTGCTTCATGCGGCTGGGGCTGCATCTGCTCTGGCTGTGGGTTGGCGGCTTGGGCCCTTTTTTTTTCTTTTTCTTTTTTACTGTGAGCTTTTTTGTATTCTAACTTGTAGAATTTTCTTCTCTTCTTGCAGTTGTTTGTTGATCATGTCTTCCAAAAATGGTAGCAAGTTACCAAGCTCTCAAGTGTCTTGGTATCTGTGGGGAGGCTCCCAAGTGTACAAGAAGTCGTTCGTGGCTAATCTACACCGCGTTACGACTAAAGCTCAGTCCCAGAAGTGGTGGGCCGCTTATGCTTTACCATTCCTAATGACGTGCATGTGAAGCTGGCGAAGCCTTTGACTGACAATGTGCCTTGTGTGGATGCAAAATATCCAGATGCTAGGCTCATCACCTTCCGTCCCTTTTACTTTTCCTTGGGCATCACTTTCCCGTTGTCAAAGCTTTTTAAGGAGGCATTCTGCGCCATGGGGTGTGCTCCAAGTCAGTGCACTCCGAACATCTATTGGGTGATCATGATGATGAACAGACCTCCTAGTTTGATATGCTTCCTTTTTATTTGAACTTCTTGAAGTGTGACCAACTAACTTATGTTTTCTGTCTGTAGTGAATAACATCTGCAAGAGGTTGGAACTTAGGCTGGACATGGCTAAGGTCGGTCGGGCTATAAACATCACACTGAGGTTTCGCGAGTGGCGCTGGCTGTTGAGCGAGTATCAAAAGGAAGTCGGTGGACTCCCCCTACCCAGGTTGTTGAGAGATGGAAGTAGAATGGTTTAGATCCTGATGATCTACTTGCTGGATAGAAGGAGTGTTCTGCTAAACCTCCCTAAAAGAGGAAGGCTGATGTCAAGTCCTCAAGAAATAAAGCTACCTCTTCGCGGGCGAGGAATGTGTCTCCATCGAGGAAGAAGCCAAAGCTCCCTGATGTTGAGAATATTCGTGTAGGGACTGGTCCCCCATCATCTGCTAAGGTTAAACATCTCGTTGGTGCATATAGCAAGAAGATTGGCGGCATGCACAATATTAGGGATGTTCTACTTAAGCCTCATATTGACAAGTTTGGAGACCGTGATCTGCTTTATGAATTAGTCTGTGTGCGATCTAGTTCACCTGCTGAGAGGCAAAGAAAAGCATATGTTCCTCTCCGAAGTTTGGATAGTCTGCACCAGTCAAAGGATGGAGATTAAACTAGGAGGTCTGCCCATCATCATGATCCAGTTGTTGTGTCAGGAGCAGTTTAGCGTGGACTTGATTCAACATCGTCGACTCCTTTGGAGGTGAGGTTGGCATCGTCGACTCCTTTGAAGGGTTCTTCTGCAATGCCAGCGGCTGATCCCGAGATGGACAAGTCCAATCTTGTTGGGGATGCAAGCGTGTCTGATCTGCTCAAGACGAACTTTCTGTCAAGCCCGTCTGCTTGTGCTAAGCTAGTTGATCGTATCCATCAAGCCGGTGATCTTGATACCTTCTCGAATCTTTCCTTGGAAAAACAGAGGGAAGCGACATTTCATCTACTTCAAAAAAGAGTAGTTTTTACTGCTAAGACTATCTGAAACTCATCCGCTGTGCCCCCTCTTCTGCTCAGCTCAGCGAGTCGGAAAAGAAGAATGTTGAACTTACTAGCATGCTTTCTACCAAGCAAACTCGTTTGAGGGTGATGAAATCTGAGTTGAAGAGTTCTCTTGTTGCGAAGGATTCTGAGCTTAGCTCTTCCGCTACTAACTTGGATAGTCGAAAATATGATTGCTTCCATCTTAAGTGCAAGAATGCTGACATCTCCCTTAGCTATGATGAGCTCCTAGCTAGATTTCGCGTCTATCGTAAGTCTGCTAAAAAATCCAAGCTAGAAGCTACCATGGATGCGTACAAGCTGGGCTACTTGGATTGCACAAATAGGAATGCTCCCTTTTATGCCACTGGAGATGAAGACATCGAGACGCTCTGCCGTAACTTGCTTCCTGTCCAAAGTGAGTAGGTTAAAGCTGTGAACATGGAAGAAGCTGAAGAGCACGCGGGCAACCGAAAAGGCAGTAGTCGAAGAGGATGGAGCAGAGCAGGACACAGCTGATGAGATTGTGACGGATCGGGAAAGTGGAGCTCTTGAGAGCGTGGATGATTTGGTGGATGCCGAAGAGGTTACAGATCAGAGGTCTCCTGCCTGCGTCTCGGAGTAGATGAAGACTACTTTATTTCTTTTCAGCTTTTTGTAGTCTGCTTTCTTGTGTAGAATAATTGGTCTTATTTGGCCATCTCCTTTTTATTGAACTTGGTCGGTTAGTCACTTTGCTTTGGAAATTTTAGTTATTTTTTCAACTTCAATTTGCATATTGTCTTGTGAACTGCTTGAGTAACCGGCTATTATCTTGGTTGTGCATCTCCCTTAGGATGTTTGAATGTTTACACACCGCCTACTTGGAGGGTGCTCTTCTGCTCCTTCAGGACGCCTCATAATTGTCTTATGGGTGGTTGTCTATAAGGTCTGCTCTACAACTTCTACCCTACATATCCTTAAGGATGTGGCTTATCAGCGCTGCTCTGATTATCACCCTACTTCTCCCTGAGGATGCGGCTTATGGGCAATAGTCTCAGAGGATGCTTCATGCCCTACATATCTCGAAATACGCAACTTAGGGACAAAAGCGTGTATGTGTTTGGGCCAAAAATCTGCACACCTAGCCCAGCACTAGAAACCCACGCAGACAAAGCAAACTCAGGATCCAAGCAGTTTAGGCTTTTCGTTCAATCAGAATCAAGAGCCCAAAATCAAAAAGCCATGTCAAAATTTTGGGCAACCACCAGGGTCTTTCTTAAAGATTAGACCAATTTCTAACACACCCAGCCCATTTCTTTTTCAGAAAAGGGTCATGAGACAAAACATTTAGGGCTTTTTATCCATTAAAGAGACTAGCCCAACCTTTTTTTTTACCATTTAATGTCTACCCCAGAAGATTGACAAAATCAGAAGATCTTTTCTAAAACAACCCCACTTGACTACCTGGCTTTGAAAAAGTCAAAATTTTCAACTATTACAGAGAGGTTGATAGGAAATTAATGAGGGCAGGTCTTACAGAAAGACTTCTCTATTTTTCTCCAGCCAAAAGAAGAAGATTAGAATCCTTTATACATATATATATATATATAGAGAGAGAGAGAGAGAGAGAGAGAGAGAGAGAGAGAGAGAGAGAGAGAGAGAGAGAGAGAGATGGCCTTTCCAAAACAGATGGCATTTCCAAAAGATAAGCAGACTACGTTTTCAAGAGATAAGTAGAGAACAAGGGAGTTGTTCAACAGGAAAAGCAAACTGACCATCATGGCATATTGTGTTCTATCTCTCTACAAGGAACAACAGGGAACAAAGTAGAGTTGGTTTCTTTCTTTTAGAAAAAGCAAGGTAAAGACCTCTATGAAAACTGATTATTGATGGTTCTTCTCTGCCAAAACGGATAACTTCCCCTTTTCTTTGACATTTAAAAATGAAAGATCTTGCTTTTAGAAAATCTATCGCCCATTATTTGAAGATTAGAAAACCCACTCTAGCATTTCCTATAAATATGAGAGGAGGTGAACAGATCGAAGGACAGCCAAAAAAATCAATCAAAACAAAAACTCAAAATGATCATTTGATCCCAAAAAACCTTCAAAACACTGAAGCAACTAATAGCTCATTGATCCATAAGAAACAAGTCAGCTACAATTCAGAATCTCTAACTTCAGTTCAGTTTCAGAGAAATAGTCATTCAAAGCGAGGTTTCCCTCATTACAAATTTGGTTCAGCATAAGCCAAAACAAGCAGAATTCGGGTTTTACAAATATGAAAACCTCAACAAATTTATAGAGAGCCCTGAGCAAGCAAAACATGTGCTACAGTGCAGTTCCAACTCAGTAATCATAAAATCCAGCCACTTCTGCCCCTTCCAGACTGAAGAGGTCTCAATTCTGCCCTTTCAAAAAGCCTTCCAGGGCTTGAAACAGATTAAAGCTCTGTCAAACTCGAACGTTGGTATTGATTTATAGCTGAAACTTGACAGTTGAAGGTATTGATAGTCTAGTCTAGCACAGGCATACCCAATCCAGCCTGGATCAGAAGCATTTATCCAGGCAGTAATTAAAGTCCAGAAACTCTTTTTGTCTTTTTAGAGTTGGTCTTCCTTTTTGAGCTCTGTAAAAGGCAGTTCTGCCTAAAACAGTTCACTTTCTTATCATTTATTCTGGCCAAGAACTACCAGTTTTGTACTATGAAAAATTGTGAAGTCCTCACCAGTCTGAGGCAAGAAAAGAACTTACTTGGGAGATATTCCTCACCCAAATTCACAATCGCTTGTTTAGAAATCAGTAACTTGGGGCGCAACTTATCTATTTTTAAGAAGTCTGCTAGGATATTCATTGCTAGCAGTGGCATGCTCGCACACCAAAGAAAGTTGACTTGTTGACCAATTAATGGTTTTCAAGACAATTAGGAACTTTACCTTACCATCACATGAACAAACCTAAAACGGGTGGACAGTATGGCCTACTGTTACACCCTGCATCTCCCTAAGGATGCAACTTATGGGCGACTGTCCCGGAGAATGCTTTATGCCCTACGTCTTCCGGAGTACGCGGCTTATGGGCAAAGGTGTGTACGGCCTATTTTTACACCCTGCATCTCCATAAGGATGCAACTTATGGGTGATAATCCTATAGGGTGCTTTATGCCCTACGTATCTCAAAATGCAAGGCTTAGGGGAAAGGAGTGTATGGCCTACTGTTATGCCCTACATCTTCTTAAGGATGTGGCTTATGGGAGATTGTCCCGGAGAATGCTTTATGCCCTACATCTTCCAAAGTACGCGGCTTAGGGGCAAAGGTGTGTACAACATATTTTTACATCCTGCATCTCCCTAAGGATGCTACTTATGGGTGATATTTCTAGATAGTGCTTTATGCCAAACATATCTCAGAATGCGCGACTTAAGGGTAAAGGCATGTATGGCCTATTTTGTAGTTTACACCCTGCATCTCTCTGAGGATGCGGCTTATGGGTGATGGTCTCGAAGGACGCTTTGTGGAGAACTACACACTTCTTTTTAACAAAAAGCTGAACATTGCATGATTACATTACTTTATTTGAAATAACTAAGTAAGTAATCCGATAACTGTATTTTCTTCTTCAAGATTGTGGAAGATCAATCGCCTACCGAGGGCTGAGCTTGTAGGTGGAAGTCTTATGGGTAATATCTTTGAAGGTGGAGGCATTCCAATGTCTTGGAATATCCTTCCTTCCTATAGTGTCGAGTGTATAGCTCCCTTTGCCCCTGACTGGCTGATTACGTAAGGGCCTTCCCAATTAGGTTTCATCTTTTTGGACCCTTGTCTTTGTGTGGTAATGAATGTCTTTCTTAGCAAAAAATTACCTGGTTGAAACTGTCTGATCTTGGCTCTTTTTTCGTAGTAAGACTTCAACTACTGTTAGTAGGAGACAACTCAGATAATGGCCTTCTCGCGCTTGCCTTCAAGTAAGTCAAGGTTGAGCCTCATTTGCTCGGAGTTTTGCTCAATACTGCCCACTTCAATGCATATAGAGGTGACAGTGATGTGATGAGGAATGATTGCTTCAGTTCCATAGGCGAGGGAAAATGGGGTGACGACAGTTGATCGCATTTTGGTGGTTCAATAAGCCCATAATACTCCAGGGAGCTCATCTACCCATTTCCCATCGGCGCCTCCTAATCTCTTCTTTAGATAGTCCAATATAATTTTGTTGGATGCCTCGACCTGGCCATTGCCCTGTGGATATCTCGAGGTAGACAGATGCTGCTTGATGCCATATTTTTTAAAGAATGTGGTGATCTACTTGCTGATGAATTGTGAGCCATTGTCGATAACCAATGATTGTGGACAGCCAAATCAGTAGATAATGTTTCTCCAGATAAATCGTTCCACATCGGCTTCTTTAGTAGAGGATAGAGCTTCGGCCTCAATTCATTTAGTAAAGTAGTCAGTGACGACGATCATCATTTCTTTCTTGGCAGGTGCTATTGGCATAGGGGCCACTAAGTTGATGGCCCATTGCATGAAAGCCCATGGACTGTTCTGCTGATAGTAGACTTCGGCAGGCAGGTTAGGAACTGGTTTGTATCGTTGGCAACGATCACATCTTTTGACATATTCAGTGGAGTCATGGCTCATGGTAGGCCAAAAATAGTCTATGTTTAGAGCCTTCTAGCGAGTGACATGCCCCAAGAGTGGTTGCCACACTAGCCATCGTGAATTTTGCAGAGGACCTCAAATGTTTAAGGGTATTTTATGTAGGTGAGATGAGGGTTGGAGTATAATCTATGAATGAGAACACAATACGAGCCCTTACTCCACACATATTCCAGGAGACGTCACATACCATCTATGGAACCTGCACTAGTCCCTACTCCCCTTGCTTCTACGGACCCAGCTCCTCCACCACCTATTGAACTAGCACCTGCCCATCCCATGTGCACATGTCTGCGTAATGGCGTCTCTCAGCCTAAAAACTACACAAATGGCACAGTTCGATACCCGATCCCTCGTGCTCTTTTAAATGTAATTGACGATGTTGAACCCACTTGTTTTTCTTAGGCTTCCAAACATCTAGCATGGCGAGCAGCAATGTCTGAAGAAATCAATGCCTTGTTGTGGAATCAGACTGGGTCTCTTGTTCCTCCAACCCCCGCACATACTCCAGTCGGTTGCAAATGGGTCTTCTACATCAAGCGTCACTTTGATGGCATTATTGAAATCTACAAGGCACGCCTAGTACCTAAGGGATTTCATCAACGCCGTGGCATTGACTACTTTGAGACCTTCAGCCATGTTGTCAAACCAGCCACAATTCGCACTGTTCTCAGTCTTGCTGTTTCCCGCCGATGGTCCTTACGGCAACTCGATGTCAAGAATGCCTTCCTTTATGGGTTCCTTGAAGAAGACGTATATATGGTCTAGCCCCCAAATTTTGTGAACACTTCTCATCCCACTCATGTATGTAAACTTCACAAGTCTCTTTATGGTCTCAAACAGGTTCCGCGTGCATGGTTTAATCGTATCAGCACCTTCGTCTTATCCCTTAGTTTTTCAAGAAGTTTGGTAAACTCTTCACTTTTTATCTTTCAGCAGGGATCCCACACCATCTTTCTCCTCTTATATGTTGACGACATTGTGATTACTGGCAGTGATTCCTCTCTTTTACAGAATTTTATATCTCATTTGAGCCGCCAATTTGACATCAAGGATTGTGGTCTTCTTAGTTACTTCTTGGGTTTACAGGTTGTTTCTCATGATGGTGCTCTTCATCTCAATCAAATCAAGTATGTTCATGATTTGTTACACAAGAGTAATCTCCTACATGCCAAGCCCGCTTCCACTCCTCTTGCTACCAAGCCTGTTCTAACTGCAAGTGATGGTGACTTGCTCACTTCTCCCACAAAATATCATGAACTTGTAGGGAGTCTTCAATACATCACCCTTACCCACCCAGATATTTCCTTTGCAATCAACACTGTGGCCCAATTTATGAGCTATCCTCGCTCTCCTCACATGGTTGCCATCAAGAGGATTCTCCACTATGTTAAGATTGACTTTGGCCTCCATTTTACACCCCAGGGTCCTTCCACTCGTCTCATCGTTTACTCAGATGTCGATTGGGCTGGGTGCCCAGACTCCCGCCGTTCAACAACTGGCTACCTCATCTACTTAGGCTCCAATCTTATTTCCTGGTGCTCCAAAAAGCAGCCAACAGTTTCGCGCTACAGCGCGGAATCTAAGTATCATGCTCTTGGGCATGCCTGTGCCGAATCTCTTGGCTCTGTTCTCTATTACATGAATTGGGTGTTCGACTGCCTTTTCCAGTTCTCATGAATTTTGACAATCTCAGCACAACTTATATGGCGGCAAACCTGGTATTCCATGCTCGTACTCGCCACATTGAACTTTACTACCACTTTGCTCTCGAGAAGGTAGCCCTTGGGATTCATCAAGTCTGCTTCATCCCTTCTATTGATCAACTTGCGAATATTCTCACTAAACCACTTCACAAGCCACACCACCATCTCTTATGTTCCAAACTTGTTCGAACAAGGCCGCTCAATTTGTGGCAGGGTTTTAAACCACACACACTCATCAAGGAAGAACAATCTGAAACGGATTCTTCTTAATCACAATAGTTGACTTGCTCTCCAAATATTTTGTATTTACTGCCAATGCTCTTACCGTTTATATCTTGATTGTACAATTATAAATATTGTAATATTTACACAAAGGAATACAATCAAAATTCAAACTTCTACATATATATTTAAAAGAGAAGCATGTTGCTTACATAACTATGTAAAAGAGGATGATCGAAGTTGGATGCGATTCAGCTTACAGTTGGAATCTCTGTGGTCTTGCTTCCATTTAGAATGGGGGAGAGAAACTACAATAGGCAATGAATTGAATGGCCTAGAGCCTTCTTCTGATTTACATATCTGCATCCTATATAATAAATAATTAACATCATCGACGCCACTAGTGGTCCAGAAGTCATGTAAGTATAGAAAATTGAAAGTAGCAGAGTAATTAACAAATGTAAAAAATGTATCATATGATGCAAGTCTATTGAAATAAATTCAGGTCTTTATTTATTCCTGCATTATTTTTTGTACTTATATTGCATCTTGTTGCAGTCTTGCTTGGATTTACTTGTAGGTCAACAATGCCACCGGAGATTCTGTTTTTGAGTAGGTAGAAGGAATTATATAAGGTTTCATGGAGACATCCTGTGGTTACTTTGGATTATATATACGCGTTTCGTTTATCACGTGTAAGTTTGGATTATTATGATTTAAAATGGAAATATCGCCATAAATCAACAATCTGATTTTCATTAAATCTAATTGATTTACCCAATCTCCTTATTCATGGAAAAATAATAATAATTCCCTTAAAAAAGGAATTATTCTCCCATAAATCATACCAAAGATAGCACAAGATGATAAGGCTATATAAAGATAGCATTGTATCACAATGAGGTCACTTCCACTCCCTAACACAAGACCAAAGCTCATGCCACTCTCTCTCTCTCTCTCTCTCTCTCTCTCTCTCTCTCTCCCCCATAGAGAAAACTAAAGGGAATATTGTGGGAATGGTGTTGTGTAGAGATTTCTAAAAACTCTACAACCAAACTTTGAAAGTATAAATCACCTAGCATGCCATATCTAATATGAAATCAAAGTAGGAGCGGAAGAATTAAATAAACAGGGATTCATGCAAGTCTCATTTAGTCCCAATCTTTATAAGTCTATGAAAGTGTGCACCAAAGACTCTAAATCCTATTTGAGAGAAAGATAAGATGTTCATACCCTTGAAGCGAATCTTGAAACCCAGAATGGTGTTCAAGTAGAGGGAGTGGTCCCTTTGTTGTTGGCTCTCCCTTTGATGTTGATTCTCTACCTTGTAGCTCTCTAAATAGGTACAAAGATAGATTCAAGGGTTGATTATCTACCTTGTACCTTGTAGCTCTCTACCTTGTAGCTCTCTAAATAGGTACAAAGATAGCTCCCCAAAGCTCTTCACCAAGGATTGAATGGGATGAGAGAATGAGCAGACAACAAGTGAAGAGTGTTGTTAGCACCCTCACTTGATGTGATAGATTCAAGGGGTCAGGGAGAGAAAGCTTGATGTTTTCTCTCTTCCAATTTCACCAACTTGAAAACCCTCGGATGATAGGATACCATAACTACACATTTATAGGATCAAAAATGTCACAAGAGTGACAAAAATACCCCCATTCCCTAGTGTGCTGCACACCCCCCTTTGTGTGTCATCTTTGTGCTATCTTGGTCCAACACATTAATCCTATAATGTGTCACATATGTGCCTAAGTCCATATGGTCAAATCCCTTATGAATTTCCAAGTTATATGGGACCTTTAATTAAAATTTCATAACTTAAATTGAATAATTAAATTATTCTAATCAATTTAATTACTCTAGTGACTTGACTAATTCAATCACTCACTTGTCTAACAAGTGTTGGTCTCGATCATCCTTAGTTGACTGTTTCAAGTGTCGGGTCAACCGTTTGACCTTAGACTTTCACATTGACTTAGACCAAGTCACAAAATCATTCATTCTCTTCTTAATTTCCCAATCAATTCTTTTTCGGTGTGCGATCTTGTAAGTTCTAATTAGCGAGGCAGTAGGTATGAATGATTCACTCTAAATCAAGTGTGAATTGTATCCCTCCTTACAATTCAACCTATTGGCGAAGGCTAATTATAATTAGTCCTTACAGGGCTTCCATAAGCTATGAGTGACACCTAGCAGTATGTCATGGCTTCCCAAGCTAAAAAGAATTCATTTAGAGAACCTAGTCAATTTGTGATTACAATGCAATTCAATACTCTATGTCATATTCTCGGGATATGGTAAACTTGTGTCAAAATCCCTAATATGACATCTCTAGATTATATGATTTAATTTGATGAAATTGCAAACATTCTTGTTTCAATTTCCATCTGATACTTTGGCCAAAGATTCACGAATCATATCTTTAGAGTATTCTCTCTTCTTACTAAGAGCATAGATTCCTTGTGGTACATTCGCCTGTCTCTGCGTACATGCTGAGAATCCTGAGGAACACCTTTAAGTCACATTATTTTGATATGACCATATGGTGCTCTCAAAGAGAAACAACATATATATACAAGAAAATTGTGATGTCTCAGGTCTAAGGATTAATTTGCATTATCAAAACTTAGAATTCTTTGTTTGACACTTGTGAGTAAGACTTCCATGCAAGAATTCCAAAGTTGATCGCATTCAATATGTTAGTATGAAAATTGTGTTGTCATTTCCTAGACTCTAGCATGAATTGAAAACTAGTGTGTGAAGAATTGTTACTGGACGTTTTGGCACAACTCGCTCAACCCCATACTTCCGATGCATGACTTGACCGACATGAGAAACTGATTTCAGGTAAATCATGATATAATCATGCATTCATTATAGGATTCCTAATTAGAGTTATTTTCAATCAAGTACTTTTTTATTAGCCCTATTTTTAATAGGATTAGATTTTATCTCTTGATATTATTTCCTACTTGTTTGGTCTAATTAATTTGTTTAGGTGGATATTGTTTTTCTATTAAAGATTAGTTGGTTGGCATATTTACTAAGAATCCATATTGAATCAAATCTCTTGGTCATAAGTGAATAAGAGATGTGGTCCTGCTTTGACATCCTGGCTAAGAGATTATATTGGATCAGTCTTGTAGAGTCATAGTTGAATAGGATTCATGGTCTGTTGGGTTTTCCTTTCTGAAGAGAAAAACTCCTTTTAATAAAATGTAGGCTTTTCCTTTCATATGTACAGCTTTTGACATATTTATGTGGAGCATATAGAATTCTTGGAAAAAAGTTGTTGTGCATTTATTTGAGATAAATCATCAAGTGTTCCTTGTTTACTTGGTGATTTATCAAATCCTTTCATCATTCATATTGTACTCATATGTATGTCGGTGACTCATACGGTTGAGGGCACCAAGACCGTGGTGGCAGTTTTCCTTCGGTGAACTTGAAGCAGTCGTGACCAGTATTGTGTTCAACATAAGGAGTGTCGAAGATCATCCTGTGACAGAAGTTGAGTTACGAAGAAGTCGATAAACATTATCTAGAATAGCTCTAGGATAAGTGTGTGAGTACTTCTTGTAATCATCGTTCTATAATGGATTTGTGTTGGACTGAGGAGTTCCGTGGATTTTCCCCAACGGCGGGGTTTTACCATTTAAAATAATTCTCTGCGTGTTCTTTTTTTTTATGCCCAGCACATTTCAGGATTGATAAGCCATATCAATCATGCTACCAAAGTTTATTTTTATTTATTTTATTATAATCTTAAATTGGCCTATTCACCCTCCTCTAGGCATTTTCAGTCATCCTACAGGTAATTTCACAATAGACTCCATCTTCTATAGAGCATCTACACATCTGTCTCAGTGTCTCTACATAAATGACTTGAGACTAGTCATCCTCCCAATCGCCCAAACATAATGTGTACCAATCTTTGCGGGTCACCATTATCCAATTGATGATCCTATGACCAGGAACATTTTAGGATACGATATTCATATGTATGGAAAGGTCTCGTGCATCTAACTTCTTTAGACACTTTCCATTTATATCTTAATCCATGGACTTGTTACTTTGTGTACGTTATGTATTTAAAGCAACGTTCTTGCCCCTTTGATTGTTATATATTATTTCCTTAGAATTATCCATTTTTATATCGGCTTCTAGGGCATATATCTAACAAAAACTCCCTTCCTTTCAAAAATATCTGTATCTTCTTGAGACTATATTCTGACATAGGCATCGAAGAGCCCCCTGGCCAACACCACACTAGTGTTCTCCAATTGACCCTTTTTATTTTGCAAGGTTCTTGGAAGAATTCATTAAAGAGGTGTGAGCATCTTCTATGAATCTACCAGAGGAGAAAATTGCATCCACAACTATTAAAGAGGTGCGAGCATCTTCTCTTAAGTCCACTTAAATAAATTTAGGTCTTTATTTATTCCACCATTATTTTTTGTACTTATATTGCATCTTGTTGCAGTCTTGCTTGGATTTACTTGTAGGTCAACAATGCCACCGGAAATTCGGTTTTCGAGTAGGTAGAAGGAATTATATAAGGTTTCATGGAGACACCATGTGGTTACTTTGGATTATATGTACACGTTTTGTTTATTATTCATGTTTCGTTTACTGTATGTCTACCCTCTATACAGTTAATCACCTATAACAGAAAATAAATAAACTAAAATGTTAACATAACTAAAATTATCTCATCCTTCACCCGACATCGTCTCCAAAGATTGAAAATATCATTTCTATATGTACACGTTTCGTTTATTATTCATGTTTCATTTACTGTATTTACTACCCTCTATACAGTTAATCACCTGTAACATAAAATAAATAAATGAAAATGTTAATATAACTAAAACTCTCTTTGTCCTTCACCCGACGCCATCACCAAAGATCGAAAAGTTCATTTCTATAAACCCCTAGCCATCTAGCACACAAAAAAAATGCGACTCCACCGGAGGAAAAGTCAATTTTTAATGATAATAACAAAATGCATTTCATACTCAACAAAATAGTAGCAATAACAATTAAAACAAGGGGTCGCTCGCTTGCTACTCGAGGAGAGTCGTGCGTCAAATATTAGGGTTTAGGTTTTTCACGTTCAGTCATCATCCCCTCCACGGCCTAACCACGCTAGTTTTCATCCACGTTCAGCCGCCGTTGTCACCCTCCTCATCACTTTTCTTCCACATCGGGTCGCTACAGTCACTCCTCTCTTCGACTCTAAAGGTGTCGGCCTCATTATTGTCTCTCTCATATCCTAGGCATTGGTTTCATCATTCTCTTTCTCCTCGGTGCGTCAACGTCTCTGGTGGTTGCATTGGTATGGTGGTTTCATCTGGTCTGCTCCTGCTAGTATGCCTACAGTCAACAACGATCATGATGCAAGCTACTTCGTTGGGGTCGGCAGTCAAGGTAGAGGTGGCTTTCCTCTCGTACCCTCCATCGTTCGATCTACGATGTTAACTTTAGGAGAAGAAGGCCAATGTCTAGAGATTTGGCGTGACTGGCTCTTCACCTAAGGTCTATACCTTTGATCCTCCTTTTCACAGTGTTGGGCCAAGTTTTTGGCCACTAGGTTTGTTGGGTACCATCCTTTTACCCATCTTTACTGGTTTGGCTAGTTACTTTGCAATGGGAACTGTGAATCCGGTTTATGTTGGTGTCCTTCTTGACAATCCTATGGAGACTGGCCCAGTGGAGTCTTCCAGAAGCCTTCCTTAATGTGTTCTTAGAGCATTCGCTAGCTTGGCATACGGCGAATGCTCTTATGCCTAATCCCTGTGTTTAGGTTAAGTGGCTAGGCCAATTTTGTTATTGTTGCATGGTGTTTTCTTCTTTCTCCTCTTAGCTGATCTTTAATTCTCCGTCTGTCTCAAGGACTATTTTCATAGGAGGTTTCTTTGTCAGTGTTGAGATGATACGGTGTTCTTGGGGATCTTTTTATTTATTTTCTTTCCTGGCCTGTTTGCGGTTAGTCTCTTATTTGTGTTGCTCCTTGAAGATTTCTCTTCTTTCATGGAGGTAGCTGGAGATGGTAAGATTAGTAACTGTTTTCTTTTTTCTTGGCGTATTGTGTTCTCTATCGGATGTTCTCACTATCTTGTGGCTGTGCAAAGGACTATGATTTCATAGCATGACTCTTTTGATAGTTGGATTGTGGTGTAGTGCTCTCGTCGAAGGTCTTTGCATCAAAGGTCTATGTGTCAGTTTGCTATTTTATTTTATCTTACTCTAGCATTGGTCCTGCGTGACTATTTCAGACTCTCTTGTTAGTCTATGACATGTGTGGTACTCTTTCTTACCCTGAGGTTGTCCCTCAGGAAGGTTTTAACGAGGCCACTATTTCTTGTAGTTTGTTTCGATTTACTTGTACATTATCACCGCTATCGAGATTCTGATTTTGAGTGGTAGAAACTGTTGGAAAGATTAGGCCCTGTTTATAATGTCTTAGCGGCCCAAATTCTGATTTCCGAAAATGAAAACAAGAGTGAGTACCGTTAAACCAAAAAGTATAAAAAATACTAGCAAACAGAATTTTTTTATTAAAAAAATTCATCAATGCACTAGGTGTAACAGGGGTGAAAACCGCCTTTAATTTTTTGACCCTTGTCCGGCACTTAGACTCTTCCTAAGTCAGCCTTCTCTACACCTCCAAACTGTGAGGCTTCAGAGTTCACGTAGCGGGATAACGACACAAGTGACACCAACACACACACAAGCAAGACTTGCCTCACGCAGGAAACTCTCACACACACACACATGTACGAGAAATTCCCAACCTTCTATTCACAAATAGAAAAGGATTACAAGTTCTCACTTTTGGTTGGATACCACATCACTTGGTCATCTCAACCTTCACCTTTACAAGATATTTATAAGCCTACACTATGTAGATGACACCCACATCTACTTAGGAAACTTTGCCAACCATTAGATTAGCCACCTAGACATGTTTCTCTAACTCAAAAACCTGTCTAGCCGCACAAGGCGCCACCTCGCAGCCCACTTTGATCATGGGACATATTTTTCCTCCTTAAAAATCTCCCCCACTCCTTGGCACATGCAGCCACTCTCTAGTAACCGCCCATCATTGCTCCAAGATCATCCACAACCCGAGTTTTAAGCATACAGCCACTCTAGCCACGTCCAACTGCCCATGGACTGCACAAAAACAGTTTTGCCACGTCTTAGACCCACTCCAGCAGGTTTTCAACCAAACTGCCACTTCTGGCCATGATTTGCCAACGTGTGTTTTGCAGTCTATACGTGCGTTGCTTGAGCTGCCTGCCATTGCTGCGCTGCGCATAACTGCCCTGCACGCTGCAGCCTTGTGCCCAGTGCTGTTGACATCCTTCGCGCATCCTGCGCTCATGCTGTGCGCAGCTCCTATTGGCATCTTCTCTCGGTATCCTTCGACATCTGTCGACAACGCCTGTCGATAGCTCCAGTCGACATCTCTCGGCATCTGTCGGCAAATTCTATCGACAGCTCTCAGCATCTGTTGACAACTCCCATGCCATGCCGCCAGTCTGCTGTGCTGCTGCCATGTCTTGGCTGCCAAGTCCCAGCCCAAAACACATGTCTTCCGACCTTGTCTTGCTTCACGAGTGCACCTCCCATGCACCTTTGGCTTGCCTTGGCATGGTGCAAAACATCAAAATCATGCCATGGCCCATGCCAACTTGTAAGGGTCTTACACTAGGTGTCATTCAAATTTGGGACCGTCTTCATCATTAAAGAGAGGAGTATATCATTAAACCTAAAGTTTAACAAATACTAGCAAATGTGGCTTGTGCCAATTTGCAAGGTAATGTGTTCGTTCCTTTGTATCTGAGTTCGAACCTCCTTCCCATATATAGAGTAGTTTAAAAGTGTTTTGAATAAGAGTGTTGCTAAGAGTGTTGCTAAATGTTTTGTATCTGAGTTCGAACCTCCTTCCCATTTATTGAATTACTAATTTACAATTACCAAAAAAGATATACTGGATTATGAAACAAATATAATTTTAATAAGTACACCCTACTCACCATATTCGACCTTAATCAAACATAAAAGAAACGAAAAGAGGAAGGAGGACAGAGGAGAATGGGATTGGATGGGAAGTATTCAAGTATGCAAGAGTCACAAAGAAGAATAGAGAAAGAGAAAATCTGATAATTAAGCCCATTATTTTGCAATACCCTTTACTGTTGTAGACTTCAATGGTTCGATCATTTCATCCCCATATCCACTGATCCATTAAGAGATATTTAGTCGTATACCCATTCTTAGCACTAATAATATAGATAAACTCTACACCATTTAATTTCTATAAACAAACCAAAAAAAAACTCAAACAATGACAGCTGGCCCTATTGAATTTAATTTTAATTATTAAATTACTGTGATGCCCTATTGAGTGTTTTGGGCCTTTCTATGAGATTTTGGGATTGAGTTTGTTTTAAGAAATCAATGATAGTTTTGTAATTTAAGAGAAGTTAAAAGTCTTCTTGTTATGTTGTAAATGGGCTTTGGGTGTGTTTCTAAAGTCCATTTCATATAGAATTTTTTTTATATATAATTTTGGCTCCTATATTGGGTATAATAGTGAGTCTCTCATCTATTAATCTGAAGGGCTATTTTTCTCTTCATTGGCTGACTATGATTGCTAATGAATTCAAGCAATATAATTATTGATATTTAAAGGGAGGGGAATTCCAGTAATACTACAGGAGTAATCTTGGTCTTATTTGGGGGGTTACAGAAGATCCAAAAAGAAGCAGAAGAATGTGTGATTTCTTGGCCTCTTTGATATTCATCTTGGGCTCACCCCATATTCTTTTCTTAGATCTAAGGTATAAGCGTAAATGGTTTCTTGTAAATTCTTGTGCTATCTCTGTGTATTTTGTTTGATTCGGTTTTTCCAAATAGTAATGTGTCAATTTCTTGACCATTTATAAACTAGGTATGTTTCATTTGTTGAATTAACTACTCATAATTAACTACTTAGGATTGGCATCAAGGTATTGTGTGATAGAATGTATTATGGTGTATCAGAGGTATTTATGGTAGTTAAATAGGGTGTACTTAGTTAATTTTACATTTTGATTAAAATATTATGGTGTACTTAGATCATAAGGTATACTCAGTTAATTTTAGGATTCTTTTAGTAGCACTCATATAATGCTACTCTTACTATATTTGTATATCACATTTTCATACCATATTATATGGCAAATGAGGTGGACAACCACATCAATTAAAATTAATTTAACATTTGCTTTTCTTTTATGATTTATTAATATTTTTTAATTGATATGGTTGTTCACTTCATCTATATTTGATGCATTTGTTACTCTCACATTTTGAGCATTAATGGCTAAAAAAAATTCATAACCACATGTACAAAATCATAAAAACTAGACACTTTACGGTGGACATAACTAATATACATATAATCTGCCTCGCCAAAAGGTAGGAAAAAAAGAAGGTATTTGAAATCTTTAGATTCAGGTTATAAAATTCCAAGTGAATTTGGCCCAAATCCAATCCAGTTCATTAAGGTGTACATAAACGAGTGCTTCTATAGTGCGCGGAAAGTTATAAGGGGTTTTTTTGAGGGGTATGTAAGAGCCGTTGGATTTCATCCAACGGTGAGTTTTTAAAAGAGGGTGCATGTAGAACCGGGTTGAAATCTGACCCGTTTGGAGACCCAACTTCAGCTGAAGATTTTTCCCTCTCTGTGAAAAACTCAAGAACACAATCCTCTCTTTTTAATGTAATGCAAATCCACAATTAGAAAGATCCAAAGCTCCCAAACTCTATAATCGCTCCATTGTCATCAGCTCCTTGGGAGGCCTGCGATCTATGGTATCCTCGGTATGATGATTAATGGCTTTTACCTAGCTATTGCCCTGTTTTGATTCTATGATTGAAGTGAAAACCCCTTCTCTTTTTCGTTCAGCAGAAGAGATTCCAGATGAAAGCAAAGTAGCATATCTCTTTTTCGTGCTGCTGCAGTTGTTCCTGGATTTTGGTAGAGATGGAGTCTCCACTACGAAAGAATCCTCTCTAATGTCCACCACATTCTTTGAAGCTGACTGAGTTCGGAGCTCCCGATTGACTTTGAGAGGTAAGTTCACTCTTGCTGGATTGATTTTGTTGGGTTTGATTTGTTTTTTGTGAGGGTGAGAAATTTGTCATTTGTGGCATCAATAATGCGTCATTTGCTCTGCTATCAATAATGCGTCATTTGACTTTGAGAGGTAAGTTCACTCTTGCTGGATTGATTTTGCTGGGTTTGATTTGTTTTTTGTGAGGGTGAGAAATTTGTCATTTGTGGCATCAATAATGCGTCATTTGCTCTGCTATCAATAATGCGTCATTTCCTTATGAATATTCAATATACTTAGTTGATTATTTTTGTTTGGAGGGGGATTGAAAAATTATGAAATGTAGGTAAAAGATCCTAAACTTAGGCTTAATGGCATTAGAAGTAAGCATTTGGAGAGGATATTGGGTGAAGTTCTGTAATTGCTGGTTTGAATTACATTTGAGTTCTTAGTTGAACATGTTGGTTCTAATGTTATTTTTTCCAGATTATTTCACAAGAGATGACGTAACTAGTATTAAATTTTGCTTGTGTTTTGTGTAATCAGAATCCAACAAGCTAGGCTATGCGTGTATTGTGTCAATTTGGGCAATGTTTTGTGTAAGTGGAATGCATTGCTAAGTTGTGATGCAGTAATGATTGATTAATGAATTAACATTTGCTATGCAGTAATATAGAAGTAGATCAATAATATACGTGGATAAAATGTCTGGGGGCTCAGAGAGTGATGACTCTGTAACAGCTAATGGGAGGGTTTACATTCCTGAAGTAAGAAATGAGGAAACACCAGCAGTTGGGATGAAGTTCGACTCGCTTGACCTCGTTTATAATTTCTATAATAGATATGCATTCTTGGCTGGCTTTGGTATTCGACTTCATTCCAGCTTTTGGGGGAAAAATAAGAAAGAGATTCTGAGAAAAGAATTTGTATGTTGCAAACAAGGTGCATACCGGAATGATGAAACTCGGGAGAGAAAAAGACAGCGGGGAATAAGTAGATGCAATTGCAAAGCTAAGATTGTGGTTGTGAAGACACATGGGAGCAAGAAGTATACCATCTCTCTTTTTGCAGAGGGACACAATCATAAGATGACACCCTCAGGAAGAATGCATTTACTGAGATCACACCGTCGTATTTCAGATTCTACAAAAGTACTTACAAAACAGTTGGGTTCGGTTAATATTCCCATTAATCAGAAGGTAAGTATTTTCGAGGTGCAATCCGGAGGAATGGATAAAATCGGTTTTATGAAAAAGGATATGTACAATCTTGAATGTAGTGTGAATGAGAAGCTGAGGAACCACGATGTTGAACTAGTGACCGAGTATTTTATGGCTGAACAGAAAAAAAATGAGGCTTTTTATTTCAAGATTGAGGGAAATGGCGATAACAGGTTTAGTCGATGTTTTTGGGCAGATGCAACTTTTAGACGGGCGTACGGGTTTTATGGAGATGTTGTTGTATTCGATACCACATTCAACACGAATAGATACGACTTGACATTTGCACCAATGTTGGGAGTTAATAACCATGGTCAAACAATTGTCCTAGCATGCGCATTTTTGAGCAAGGAAACGACTGAGTTGTTTATTTGGATGTTTGAGGAGTTTAAAAAAGCCATGCCAGGTGGCGAACCTAAAACGATCATCACAGATCAAGATGCGGCAATGAGCAGAGCGATTTCAATAGCCTTCCCGACTACATTTCATCGACTTTGCATATGGCACATCACATCAAAGTTCTCTTTTAAGTTACCACATTCTGCTTATAAGGAGTATTGGGGTGAATTCCAGAAAGCCATATGGGATACTGACAATAAGGATGAGTTTGATGCAAAATGGAATATTGTGGTTACAAAGGCTGGTTTGACTGACCATCCATGGGTAAGTTCAATGTTTGATTTAAGGGAATCTTGGGTTCCAGCCTACGCACGACACTTTTTTGCCGCTGGAATGTCAAGCAGCCAAAGAGCTGAATGTTCTCATGGTTTCTTCAAGCAATACATATCAAGGAAAAATTCGTTGATGGATTTCATAATAAGATTTGAGAGGGCACTTTCTCATCAACGTCAAAAAGAGTTAGTTGTTGATCACGTAGATGCATTTGAAGTGGCTCAATGTATTCTACCGATGCCAATGAACAAACAAATGGCTACCTTGTACACAAGGACAATGTTTCAAAAGTTTGAGCAAGAACTAATACAAAGTACAGCATGTTTCCTAGAGCTGAAAACAGAGGATGCTTCTAAAGTTGTCTTTAATGTGAGCGAAAGGAAAAATTGGGAAACAAGAGTGGCAGAAGTCGTATATGTCAAAGATTCTGACCACGCATCGTGTAGCTGCAAAAGATTTGAATTTGTTGGAATTATTTGCAAGCACATCCTAGCATTGTTCAGAAGGGACCAGATTGAATATATGCCCGATAAATACATTTTGAAGAGGTGGAAGAAAACTGCGAAATTTGGATTGGTGTCAGATGCAAATGGCAACGAAATTAAAGACTCTGCAGATCCTGGTCTTTTAATAAAGCGGAGTACAATGTCCCGACTTGCTTCAGATGTGGTTGAGGATGCATTAATGTGTGAA